CTGTATTGGTTTGACCCCATTATGTCTTGCTCTAAGATCTTTCTTTGTAATTGAGATTGTGCAAAACCAGTATATTTCACCTCTTAATAGAATACTTAGTATGAGACAGGTCGACACAGTTGTGTCTTGATCAATTTTGTGTTGAAGTATTGCAATTTTTAGATCCCCATTTATTTGCTACATGGGAGTACTGGCTTTAGTCCACCACATTTGTACTACCAGTGTTAATTGTTCAATGATTGCTCATCTCACCTGGACTAAACTGATGCCTTGAGAGTGTAAAACAGGGCTTTGAAGCACTGGTAGTTGTATATACTTTTTTTTTACAGAAGTAAGAGATGAGGAAATTAACAGTAACATAGATCCTGAAATTGGAGACTCATATCTGCAATAGCCGAGGCAGTGAAAATGTGTTGAGTATATTGATGGTTGACTTCTGTAAAGGAGACAATGGCCTACATTTTAATGCCTCTTGCTTACTTGACAATGTAGCAATGGAACAAGGCTGGCATATAAGCATATGCTGCAGCCTGTCTGCATTTACAGATGTAGATTTCATTCCATGAATGAAGTGAATCTCACATCTGTGTTCTTCAGTAATTCTCTATGATTTTCAGTATAATTGTCCTGAACAGATGCTTCAAGTTGATGGAGCAGCAGTAATGTACTCTTCAAATGGAAAAGGGAGGCTTTATGCAGTGATTACAAATGTTCTGTGAATCAGAACCATCACCCTTTTATACTTGCAGCCTACTGCAGTACTGGTGTATTTCCAGCCTGGAAAAGAGGCTTGGGGGTGTTTTTGTACATTGTGTTGTACTTGAAGGGGTTATTGTAAGAATTTTTGGGAAAAAAGAGTCCACTATTTGAATGATCAATAACTAATTTATAGAACACCTTTTAAGCATTGATTTCTTTTTGTCCTATTTGTGAAGTCTTTATTCTCCATCTTTTCCTTGTGCCGTAACCAACAGCTATGCAGCAGGAAAAATCTTGCCTTGGGCTTCTGAATGTGCCATCAGTTACCATACACAGCTGGTTCTGGAGATTTTAATCTTGCTCTGAGAAAGCTAAAATGTTAAACTAGTGAGTTAATCATGAGTTTATTCTTTATTGTGCTAATTCTGGAGCTTCATGTTAATCTTCTAGATTGATCCTTAGTGGTGTAATGCTGAATGCTGAAAGAAATGCTGAATGCAATTAAAATGAAGGCTAAGGAGGGAGTGTTTGCTAAAAGCAGGTTTTGTAGGAAGAGGTTAAAGCAAAATGATCTGCTGGTCTACCCTTGTACTGTAATTAAACTGAATAAATTAATTAAGCTACTGGAAGAGTGTGCTTCTTTCTTTTCAAGATTTCCTATGCATCTCTGAGCCCAACGTTTGACTTTTGAGTTCCTTCAGAAATGTCTCATGCTATACAGAACTGCACACGGCTTGGGGAAAAACAAACAAAAAAAGCCAGAAATCGACATCTCACTTTCTCACTTGTCTGGCTAAGTAGAGAGTTATCTTAAGCCCCCCTCTTGGAAATAGCATGTTAGTTAAGTAGAAGCTATAAGCAGAATGGTTGTTTGTTTGGCTTGGTTTTGTTTCTTTAAAAATTCTCCTACATGTCATATGTAAAGCTACAATCTGGAGCATAGAGGTCGTCTAATTCCCTGATAACACCAAGAATTCATACACTGTCCGTGCATACATCTCATATCTCTCTGACTGCACAAAAGTAAAATGCAGGCTGTGATTTGCAAGTTGTCGGTACTCTGAGTCATTGACCTAAAAATGGTGTAAGGTGTTTCTGTCACGTAGGTCAGAGAAGAGGAGGTAATTTTGTTCATTTTGCAAAGCTCAGCAGAAACCTGAAATATGATCGATACCACAATAATATCTTGTAAAGCACCGTGGAAACAAAAATCTAATACTTTGGAAGTCCCTTAAGGAGGATTCTAACTAATATGCGTTGACTTCAAAATAACATCTTAGACTTTGTGGAAGCAGCATGATAAGGACAATTAAGTGAGTTTATTAACAAGGTATAAATGAGAGAGGATGCAAACAACCGTGAAAACATAAATGACCAAATTAGAACATGGAATAGAATTTATTTTTCTGTCTGAGAAAGCAGATACTGGAAATGTAATATATGGTATATATATTTATATATAAAATAATAATACTGTATTTTTATAAATACTATATATTTATATATATATTATATATATAAAATACTGGAAAGTAAGCTTCTTAAATAATTGTACATCCCCTCTGACAGAGGGGAAAGAACCATTTGAGCCATAGGTATTGTTGTTAATTAAAGATGCAGTCATTCTTTAACAGTCTTCAGAGCTTCACCTGCCCCAGCTACACTCAGCCTTCATGTAAGGCACAGAGGGCTGAGTTTTCAGTTTGATCTGGAGGGAGATGTGAATTACACAACCAGGTGTAATTAGGGCACGTACTGCCCTTTGTTCTGGCATTGCCAGGTTGAGCAGAGTTTGTGTCAGCTCTCCAAACTGGTTTGCTGGGGCTAACAGTGCTTGAGCCAGTAGGGCCGTGGAGGTGGTGTGACTGCCCTGAGCACCGGCTGAAATGCACCGCTGCTGGAGCTGGGCAGTGTGCGCTGTGAGCAGGAATGCCTTCGTTACACAGCTGCTGGTAGCAGGCACTGTGCAAACTGGAGAGCCTACCTAGAACATGGAGTACATAATGCTGTATTAAATACCAGTATGCTGCCATAAATAGTAGTTAATGTACAGAAGTGAGTGTCTGTCTCAGGATCCTATAAAGAACTTTTTTTTTTTTCTTTGGGAAAGATGAAGGCAGCTAATGAAAGTAAGCTGGCAGTAACATGTAAATTTACTGCATGGAAGCGACCAAAGCTGTGGGTTGCTTGCCAACTGCTGCATTAAGGATGAGATGGCTGAAACCTTCTGAAGTGCTGAAGTCAGTGCATTTCTGCTTAGACACCAGCTTGTTAACATGCTGCTGGTGCTATTATTTCTTTGCTAGATGCAGGGAGTAAAGTTTTAATCCTGTTTGTAAAGACTTGAAGACATTTTAACAGCAACGCTTTTCTAAAGCATACATGATGAAATTGAGTAGTGTGCACTTAAATGGACATCAATGTGATAATATAAAATGGAATGTGTATTTATTATAGCTGTTTATTTACACTTCTGTTGTTCCACATGGAATTTGTGAGTTGCTGATGGTGTGTTGCATTTCCTTTCCCATGGTAACTTCTGTGTTTTTCTGTGCTATCTTCTCAGTACCCCGTCTGTGGGTGCTGCAGAAATATATTGGCAGCCATGAATCCAAAATGTAGAGGACTAAGAGGCAGGTATTATGTATAGGAAAGAAAAGGGTGGGGTAGATATGCATAAGCATGTTTGTTTCTCCTTGCCTGTGACTCACTTCTTCATAACAGAAGGATTTTCAAAAGGAGCAGGGTGCTAATTGAAAGCAGACAGGAAGTAAAAATAATTCTCTGCACTCAACCATGAGGGTGGAATACTTTCAGACAAGTAAACTAATGAGCTAATTAATTCGATTGACTTTAAACCTATAACTGTCACAAAAGGCATGTAACTATTATTTATACTAATATATAATATTTTGTAACACAGAGTACTGTTTAGAGGGGATGGGTCTGATGATTAATGCAGTGAAAACAGCCAATATTTCTTGATCTGTCCATAATTCATTCTGATGGACATATGACTAATCAATTTTATTTTATTTTTAAAGATCAAAGGCATATCTCTTGAGTAGAAGTCTTTCATGTGTTGCTTCTCATTCTGTCATTACCTCCATCTAGCTGAGTTTGCCTGCTTTGGCATTCACCTCGATTGCTGTATTGAGTCCCATCCTGTGGACCCAACTGCATTGAAGCTGTCAGGTGCTAAGATAAGCATGTCAGATATGTATCATGTGCTTCAAGTCATGTTCCAAGATGGTTTTCAAACCAAGAGGTTTGAAAAAGTATACTGCTGGTCTCATCATTTTTAAGCCTAAGTTTTCCTTCAATGTTTTTAGTATATATATATATGTATATATGTATATGTATATATATTTATGTATAACACGATAACATTAAAAAACGTTTTTTCTTTATTGAATCCTCAAACAAAATATCTTGAGTTGCTTTTATAGGTAAGATGGGAATATGCTCATTTCCAGAGGCAGCACTTGGCCTCCCACCTTCTACTTGATGAGTTTCCTTACAGGTGCAGGAAGTCAGGGACTCCTGATCCCATAAGGATCTTCTAATAACCACTGTCACGTTGAGGTTCTGCCCATGGCCCACTTCATCTGCATCTGGCTGCCTAATAATATGGCAGTCCCTCTCTTATGCTGCCTGCTGATCAGGTCTCAGCTGTGACTCACTTGCCAGGTAGTCTCTCCTAAGTTGTGCAGTTCCCCTTGTGTCATAAGCCACTTAAGATGCAGTAAGTTGCTATTAGAATTTAATTAACTCTACAAATGGATATTTACAAAGGTACCTGACGATGAATCCATCCTAGGATTAACATAATGGTGTGGACTAGTTTCCCTGAGAAGTAAAAGCATCCTAATTTTGTTTTCCTTAGTTTCAGTCAAGTGTTATTATAATTTCTGAATCCTGTCATCTTCCAAAGAATTTCTTTTCACTTTCAGTCCTTGCTCTCCCTACAGCATGTTTGTATTGTGCAACTCGGGCACCTTCGCCTCATACAGTTGAAATCCTCCTATTGATGAACAGATTCTTATTACGTGTGGCAAAAGGTATTGCCAAGGTGATCTCATCCTTTCCATGCAGGCAGTAGTGTCAAACAACTAAAAAATAAAAATATTTGTTGGTGTTACATCCCGAGGAGAATATCTTGAGTTCAGTGCATTAGTTCTCATCCACACTGGGTGTCAAGCTATATTTTAAAGCAAATTCAATTTCACTGACACATTAGTTTCAACACACTTGTTTTATTTCTCCAGGTAACGTAATGTTCTTCTCGTTTGTTTTTGCAGTTCTATCTTCAAGACACTAAAAGTAGTAATGGTACCTTTATTAATAGCCAGAGACTGAGTAGAGGGTCTGAGGAGAGCCCACCATGTGAGATAATGTCAGGTGACATCATCCAGTTTGGTGTAGATGTGACGGAGAACACACGGAAAGGTAAGGGTATGGATCTCTTCCTGTTTCTGTTTTTCCACTGTGCTTATTTACAGTATCTTACTGCAGTGCGATCGTTAAGAGCAAAAAAATGGTATTCCCACTGTAAGAAAAGAAAACATTTCTGCTTTTTTTCCCTGCGTTGTGCTGGCAGTGAGGCCTGTGACTGCATGGAACACTGGATAAAGAAATGGATTTGCTGAAAACACTGAATCTGTCCTTCCTCCCACTCAGCCAGGTCTTTCAGTTGGCTTGCTTCCTCGGGCCACCTTCTTCTGCAGCTATGTGGGTGCTTATGTGCATGTCAATAGGATGGAAATGCAGAGCTGGGATGGCACCATGTGTTCAAATGCTGTCTCACTTCAGTTGACTTCCAGCAGTTTTGAAAGTGCGGTGTGAGTGTGTGTTGTACAGGGGATGTGTGCGTAGTGTTGGGGGGTTTTGTTTGTTTTGGATTCCTGCATGTTTAGTTGGTATTGTTTGGGAGTTATTTGAAATGTTACTTGATATAACGTAAGTGCAAATATTAATGAATAATAGCAGTATATGTGGAATAAATCCAAAGGATACTTTACATCTTTAATAAACCTGGGACTATTTTGAGTGGGGCTGTCCTCACTAAAGGGGCCAAATTTGTTCATGTATATTTAGACCTAGAACAATTTTGAAGTTTTTTTTAGAAGGTAAAAACGGAGTTCATTTGTTTTATTGGTGATTATTTGCAATTAATGTATGTGAAAGTCTGTGGAAAGCTCATTGGAATGACAGCAGCAGTTCTTCCCCATGGCTATGGTAGTATGACAGGACACAGCCCCTGTGCCTGAGCTATCTGGTTCTGCTCCCTCCCTTTGCTCTTCCCAGCTTCGAAGATAGGAGCTGCCCTCAGCGTCGCTCCGATGCGCTGAGCCAGATGATGAGGAAGAGCGTGCGAGGTCTGTGTTTCCCTCTCCGTGCCTCCCCAAGCAATGAATGAAAATTGTATCATCATGCAGGGGCAAGAAACAGCTGCATCACAGTTACAGTGGTTACACATGAATGCAGCTGGAATGCAGACAAACACATTTTTCTCCCCCGGTTCATTTCAGTAATCTTAGAAGTTACTGTTAACTCAGTCTCATAATAAAGCACCGACATGAAAGCCGGTTTTAAATTAGTGGTTCCCTTGGAGGCCCTTTTGCATACTGATATTTGCGTGGTGCTTCCCCTGCAGAAAGCATCTCGGTGCTTTGCCGTGTGCCCTTACGGACAGGCAGCACGAACAGCCTATGTAAATTGCCACTTGTGTAAATATCGCTGGAATATGTTTATTTCCGTGCCATTGTTCGGGCTGCCTTTTGGGAAGTCATTTTCTTGCAAATCCGATCTTGATCGGGTCTCGAGGAGCGCGGCACGCTATGTGCTGGTTCGGGACGCCTTACATAAGCGGCGGTTCTTCCAAGTTGTGCTGTGAAGCCGAAGCCGTTGCCAGGCCCGGCGAGGCTCGCAGCTGCCGCTTCCTTTTTTGTCGCTGCTGTTCCCGGCACCGGCCCCGCTCCGTTCCCCCTCCGCCCGTTCCCCCTCCAGCTCCGCTTCCGTGTCCTCGGGGTCCCCCGGGTGGCGGGCAGCAGCGGGCACCGCGTCGGGCAGCCGGCGCCCCGGCCCGCGCCCTTCGTCCCGTGGCGGCGGACGCGCGCTGCTCGTGCGCACGGCTGTGCCGCTGGAGGACGGCCGAGTACTTTCGAGAGAAAAACCGCACAAACTCTTGATTCCCCCTTCGCGCTGCCCCGCCGCCCGTCCGATGCCGCTCTGTTAGCTCGCGGCGTGCCGGCTCGGCTCCTCGGGTGCGGATCGCCCCCTGCCGTGCGCGGCCGGCCGGTTCCGCCGCTCCGTTTCCGCGCTCCCACGGCAGCCCGGGCCGGCACGGCGCGAGCCGCTGTGCCCGAGGTGAGTGCGGGGCGCGTGGGAGCGCGGGCGTGCGGCCTCTGCCTTCTGCCCTCTGCCTTCCCTCGAGGGATTGACGATAGAGACGGGAGGTGCGGTGATCCCTGCTGCCGTAGCCAGCCATCGCTATTCCACCGTTGCGTATGTTGCTGTGCCTTTGCTTTAGGCTTTGTTTTTTTTCTGTTTGTCGTGACTTGATAGCTGAAGGGTAGTGTGAGATTTAATTGTGATTTTATTCCATAAACCAACCAAAATGCTACAGTACCTTCTTACTGGCACTATTTATATTCTCTATTAAATCCCCTTTATCTCTTCTCTTTTTTTTTTTTTTGTTTGTTTTTTTAATATATGAAAAAAGCTTCTGCAAGCTTTCAGTATATTTATTTTTAGTGTATTAAAGGGAAAAACTTCAGAATCCTGTTATCTTTTGGCAGAGCTACTCGGTATCCAGTGCATGGCTCAGTACTAAGGCTGTCGCTTAGCTTTGGTTTTTGGTACCCTCCTACTTTCTTCCTGAAATCATTCTTCTCTATACTTTAAAGGAAAAGATGTGAAAGCTGTTTGAGTGTTGCATGCATGCCACAGATAATAGATAATATTGCTGCTGCTTTTTGTTGTGCTGTCAAGAGCAAATTTGTGAATTGCAGACCCTTTATTTGGACACCTCAGAGCCAAAAAAAAAAAAAAAAAAAAAAAAAGTCCCCATGGATTGATCCAATTCGAGATGGGCCTGATCTTCCCTGGCAGTTACACTTCATGTTGTACCAGGGCAGTTTACTACAGTTCTGGAACAAATCAAATGCTTCACTGTTGTATTTAGCTTTTAGTGTTGAACACAAGGAAGAAGCTCTGTTTAGTTGGATCATCCCTCCCATATTTTTAGATTCTATTTATGGCAGCTTCCTCAAAGACCTCTCTCTTTTCTCTGGAGTATTACTGTTGTCCTAAAACACTCTGTCCTTTTTATACTAAGCCAGATTAACTGTTTTACTGATATTAATAACTATGAAAGTAGAGCAGCACAAGTGTTGGTAGGTTCTTCAGGTATGGCAATCAGGGGCCGTATGCTTGTATCCAGTGGTGCTTTGGGAACAGCTTCCATCTTTCTGTCCATGTTACCAAGAAGATGCACTTCACAGTTCATAGCACTGCACAGGAGGAGGAGGAACAGCAAAACTCCCCTGTAATTTGTTTGAGGATTTCCTGAACTGGTGTCAGTACAATTATGGGGAAACATTGTGAAGAGGGATCAATCCTGATGTGTGAAGAATCTTGAGTACTTGAAGATCAGATACTGCTTACTCCTCTTATTCTTTTAGTCACTCCTCTTAATCTTTTGTCAGTTCAGAGAATCCCAAATGCAGTTCCCGGGAAGCACACTGTCTCTGAAAGGAGAGGCCACTTGTTAAGGCAGTGTGCTTTACATGCACACTACAAACCCCCCACAATAGAGGCATCCTTCTGAATGCTGCTGGTGTTGGCTCTGCTGAAGAGAATGTGCTTCTGTGTTGTTCATGTACTCTTTCTCTGCGCTCCCTTTTGATTGCTGTGTTTGTGAATAGCGATCACTTGGCAAGTTCCAAACGTTGAAGTGTTTGGTGGCACAAATTAGATGTGTTACCTTTGAAGTCTCTGGATACGTTCACAAGAGTCGTGTCAAAAAGCTCGCTCGTTATTGTGTTGCTATTTCTGTGTTCCCATTAACGCAGGTAAGATGCGTTATTTTCCCCCTTGTTTTATGAACCAAACGTACCTCTCTAACTCACTGCAGTAAAGAAGTCTTGCTGGCCTTGGTGCATTTGGAGTCGTCGGGGTTGGAACTGCTTGGTAGGCCAGCAACAAGTACCCAGCATGACCTCTTTGAGTTTCTCATGGTAAAGTTTCCATTCTCTGAGATCTACGCAGACAGACCGAGCCACCAGTGCATGAAGGCTTGCTTGCCTTTTCTTGTTCACCTGCCTTAGAGTTTAAGACAGTTGCCGTATTTTTAACCACGGGACTTACAGTTGAATAGTGACAAATCATGATGATGTGCTGTTTGTTTCTTTTCAGTTACTCATGGATGTATAGTCTCCACAATCAAACTGTTTCTTCCAGATGGAATGGAAGCTCGATTGCGATCTGAGTAAGAATAAGCGTCTGTTTGCATATGGCAAAATTAGACCTCTGTGTAGTGAGGATTTGATGGATATTACATTTAAAATTGGCTTAAGAACAGTTTCTTTGTATGTGTTCAAGTAAATAAAATTACTGAGAACATGGTTCTTTTGCAGGCATTATGAAAAATAAATCTCATTTGATTGTCACTTTGAGAAATGGAGGCAGCTCTGAAAGCATAAAGAAGTTACTTACTTGGATTCTCTGATTGGCTGTGTTTCTCAGGATACTAAAATGAATATTAAAAACAAAAATGCAGGAGCAAAATGAAGCAAATGAACCATTCCCCTTCCCTCTTTTATAATTTGGCATTGTTGTTTCTGTTCCTTTAAATGCACGTAAGCTCTCCTAAAGTGAAGCTAATATCTCTGTTTCTGCACACGTGTACACGTAACATTGTTTATATTCTTCAGATAAGCAATGTAATGTTTCCTCATGGTGTAGTTATTCAGTGTTACTATGAAAGTAAGCTTTACCTGACACTGGGGAGATTGAGGCTGGATAAAAGAATATTTGGAAACTGAGATGAATGCCAAGAGACTCCTCTGCGCTGGTACATGCTGGTATTGGAGAAAACTTCAAAGAGTAACAGGAACAAAGACTAGTTGGTTGGTTTTTTTGCAGTAACTAACTGATAATTGCAACCAACATAATTGTAATCAGCTTCTATCCTCAGCAATTCTGTGTTTCTCATTACTTAAATATTCTTACAGTATCAGTATCCAGAAAGCTTGCATGAAGCTTTATATTTTATTTCATGGAAAACTAGGTCTAAATAGAGCAATATGGGAAGTCTTCAGTGTAATTGCATGTGCTAATACGAAACGTTAGGGATGTGTGATAGGGAGTTTTGATTCCTGTTGAAAATGTGCAAGTGTGCAAAGCCGTGGATGTTGCCAAACTGTGTTTCTCCATATGAATCTGTGAACAAGAGAACCAGATCAGGTGCCTTCCTGGGAGTGTTGTTTTGTGCATGTAGGTTGGTGGAAGCCTTGTTAAAATGGTTACATATCAAATATGGAAGTTATACATCCAAAAAGAACTACTCAAAGTAAAAGTTGGTAAAATATATTTTTAGAACACATCTTGGATTTATAGCTTGAAAATAGTTCTATAAAATCAAAAATGTCCCCTAGCATACTATTAACCATTTTTACATGCTTGCGTTGTAAATTCTTCAGTTTTATCACACGAAGAAATTCATCACAAGGCATCTTTATGAAATGCACAGTGATTTGTGAGCTGATATTCTGTAGCACAAATACTTTGTGTTTACTTTTTCTTTTTTTGTTTGTTTTCAAGTGTTATCCATGCTCCATTACCAAGTCCTGTTGATAAGGTAATTCAGTAATTTTGTTGGTTTTTTTTACCTTACTCTACCCTGTGTTGTTTTCTGATTTGTTAAAAAGATGAAGTGAGCATGAAGTCCAGTTGCATTCAGCTGTGTTTCCTGCTGGACTGATTTGAGCTAGTTTTAAATTTTGAGTGTCATTTCTGTAGGGAAGGAACAGCAGTACCAAAGTGTATATTTAAGGTAGTTTGGCTTCATAGATGGAGTAGGGCATCTGAAACATGGCTTCAGAAAACATAGTGCTATTGAGAGGGTTCAATTCCAGATATGGACTGTGATTAACAGACGTTGGATGCTGCATAATTTGATACTTGGTCTGTTCTGTGGGACCAAGAGTAGATCCTATTTCATAGTTTGGTGTTCGGATGAGGTCTGTTGTCTTTTATCTTGCTCTCATGGGGGATTAGTTGCACGATGCAGGCTAGGAAGAGCTCTGGTATATTTCAGAGGAAGATTGAGAGACCTCTGCACTCCTGTTTACAGATACAGCCAGGTCTGTTCACTGTAAAGTCAATAAAGCATGGCACAGTTGTTAAACTCAGTTTTTATTCTGTAGGGTTCCTCTCCAGAAGGTGTTAAAAAGTATTACTCACCTGGGACAGGCGTCCATTATTTGATTGTCTAGCCTGTAAAAACAAAACAAAACAAAAAGGATTGACTAAGGTTCAAATCAATCAACATTTTCAGTGCAAAAACCAAAATTTTTAGAAATTAAGGCAGCTTCTTTATGAAGACATCAGTCTCGTGGCATTTGCATTTAAGTCAGGGTTTCAGTCAGTGTGTGCAGTGTGAGTGCATGGTGAGGGCAGAAGTTCTGCTGGGGACTGTAGTGTAGTTGTGTGGGAAATGGTTTCTCAGTGGTATCAGTGTAGGTAACAGGAACAACAAACCACCCCACCTCCTTAGCCCTCAATGCAGAATGGTTTCTGGCACTGGGAGAAGCGTAGAGTTAAAGTAAGACTTGGCAAAACAACAGACTTTCTTAAGCCTGGCTGAGACGGGGCACTGAATAGTGTAATTTTCTTTAATTGAATTTGTATTAAAATCAAGTGAAGCGATGGTGCTGAAACACAAGAACAATTATACATTGAGGTATTGCAGGTAGTCCCCAGCTGTGAAATAAGGGCAAAGAGAATGCTGAAGGTGATGGAGTCAGGTCAGCAGGAAAAGGCGTGATGAAATCTTGAGCTATAGGAGGCAAGGCACACTGAATTGGAATATGAGAAAATTGTCATTTCTGGGCATACCAGTCCCCCTGCCCCCCCAGTTTATATTTGCCCTTGGATTGAATGGCTTCACCTTTGTGCACCTTGTTTCTTTTGCCAGATTGTCTTTTGTTTGAGCTGAGGGGAAGCTGTTGACTACTTTGTTTCAAAAGCTTGTAAAGGCATTAGCGTGGTGTGGTCTTAGTCCAGAGAGGTGAAGTTCTGTGTTAACATGAAGTAAAATGATAGTAGTATAAAAGTGATTGAAAACACCATTAGTTTGATAACAAATTTACTTTCCTGACTGGATTTAAATTATAAGCTTTGCCTTATTTGAGTCTAATGGAAGATCCGGAAACATTTAGATTCATAAATTCTCTTATTTCTCAGGTTGCTGCTAACACGCCCAGTATGTATTCTCAGGAATTGTTTCAGCTTTCACAGTATCTACAGGTAATTTTTTTTTTCCCATGGCAGCATTATCTTATTAAATACTTCATCTTTGATTGATTAAAAAAAAAAAAAATGTATTTTTGTCTTCCAGTTTGTAAACAGGAGCAAAGCACTTAAGTACCTTGTTCTGTAGTGAAACAGTGTAAAAAGTGTTACAGTTGAACATAACATAGCTCCGTGTAAGCTTCTGTGGTTCTTAACGAGCAATATGAACTATGGCTTTCATATAAGGTGAAATGGTAATGGTGATTTTTATTCCAATTAATTATGAGGTTTTTGAGACACATTAATTGTGGATACATTTGCTGAAATAGCAGGAAGCAACTCAGGCAGATGCTTTTTCGTGAGAGGGCAAATCCAGAGCTATTTACCAGTCTGTTCACTCTTGCATCCTGGAATTGTTAAAAATTCTTTGCTGACCCAAAATAAATTCAAACAAAAATAGCAGTTCTTGCATGGCATTTATTTTGTGTGACCTGATTTAGGGACTAGCAGCTCAGTGCACAGGAGCTGCCAGATCTGCCTTCTGGTGGGTACACCAATTTTATTGCTGAAATTAGTGACAGAAGTTCAGAGTGGGTATACTATTGAGAAGTCTTGGAATTGTTTGCTGTGTATGCTCTGCATGTGCAGTATATGCTTGACAAATTAACATTTTTGGGAACCTGAGGTTGTAAGGTAACGTTTTCTAATGGAAATATCCAAATGAAAGTCTGGATGAATAAAATGGAATGGTTTTATGGGAGTTTTGAATATGTGACAATGTGTGCTGCTCACACTTACTTTTTCCTTTAAATTCAGCGTTATTTGGTATCTTTTCTATTGCTCCTGTTTTCGAGTTGCACTAGCAGAACTGACCAGTTGGCTCTCTTGGTCTCATCGTAGGAAGCCTTACATCGGGAACAAATGTTGGAACAGAAGCTGGCAACCCTTCAGCGACTACTTGCTGTTACGCAAGAGGCTTCAGATACTAGTTGGCAGGTACCAGAAAGCATCCTTTCCCTTGATATAGAATGGAAATTGTATCTGTTGCTTTTTTAAATGACCTGGGAAACAAACTAAAGAGTGAAAAGCATTTTGTGGTTCTCAAACTTTGCAAAAGACAGTGTTTAATAAGTTTGATTTACAGGTTGAAATAACTTTTAATGATATTTATTGATTATTTAATTAAGTAATTATTTAATTGATAGGACAACGGGGAATGGTTTTAAACTGAGATGGGGACACTTAGGTTAGATATTAGAAATTTTTTTCACACAGAGAGTGGTGAGGCACTGGAACAGGTTGCCCAAGGAGGCTGTGGATGCCCCATCCCTGGAGGCATTCAAGGCCAGGCTGGCTCTGGGCAGCCTGGGCTGCTGGTTGCTGACCCCTGCCCGTGGCAGGGAGTTGAAACTAGATGATCTTTTTTATGGTCCTTTTCAACCCATGATAAATAGAAAATACTGTGATTCTGAAGCAGAAGTCTACTGGAACTACTTAAAACACAGTGTTCTGTTGAAATGGTCTATTTGTTTTGCCATGACTAGTATTAATATGAGGTGAAACTTCTTCTCTTCTAGGCTTTAATAGATGAAGACAGGCTGCTATCAAGGCTAGAAGTTATGGGTAATCAGTTACAAGCATGTTCAAAGGTCAGTAATTCACTATAGGACTCCATACTAGAATACTGAAAGATAGCTCTTCTGAAGTATTTTGAAATGAAAAGAAAGCAGTTTGAACACAAACTTCCTCATATGGGACTGTGCTGTGTACTTCGGGTATTGGTTAGCTTGAAAATTGTAGGGCTGTTCTGTATTTTAAGGAATCATTTTAAATTTAGATAAATGTTTATCTATCAGTATTTTTTGAGCCCAAACCAGTTTTTCTTTTCGTATATAGAAAAGGAATTTGTCATCTGTGAGAAGCAACCACTCTGTCAGCCCTGTGTTCTTTTCAAATACGGATTTGAAAAAAGGCATTATAAATATGCTGATATTCAGAAGCAAAGTAAAAAGAATGCCCTGACTCATGTGTTGTTCAGGCCATGTATGCCTTCATTTTTTTTCCTTTCTCACAACTACCTAAATTATATATATATAGATATATATAGATAGATTATATATATATATAGATATATATAGAGAGAGTTATAGATAGATAGATAGATAGATAGATATAGATATATAGATATATATAGATATATATATATATATTTTTTTTTTTCGCAGGCCCTGAGATCTCTCAAATGGGACCTCAGAGAGTTTGTGTTGGTCTAACAGTAGGACTCAGTAGGACTCCTAGGCTTGTCACTATTTTGTGCCTCAAAAAATTACAGTTTTGCTATGATCAAAGAATTGCAGATGTATGCTGTTGTACGTGCAGGTGGTTTATACCCAGATGTATCAAGAATCCTTGTTCCTGCAACATTTTCTCAACTACCAGCAACTGCTGAACGTTTTGGAATAGAACAGATTTCAGCTCAATCTCACATATTTTATCAGCAAAATATTAATTTATATTTTTTGTATCTCAATTGCATGTCCAGAATCAAACAGAAGACAGTATACGAAAAGAGCTTATAGCATTACAAGAAGACAAACACAACTATGAGACAACAGCCAAAGAGTCCCTGAGGCGGGTCCTACAGGAGAAAATTGAAGTGGTCAGAAAGCTGTCTGAAGTGGAGGTACTGGTGTTTCTTAACTAGTTTGCTGGAAATACAGAAATACTTGCAACTGCTGCTACTTAGATCCATGTTTATTGCCTGTAACAGGCCAATGTCTGTCATATTGTGGCACTTGCAGTATATTAAATAGAGTTGTTTATTTCTTAGGTGCTAATCTTACTCTTAAACTGTTAATGGGGATCTTTAAACTCTGCTTTTTTCCTCCCACTCTTGAAAAACAGTAAGCTTTCTTAACATACTTAATATGTCTGGGAAATAAGTGAGGGTGAAAATAACACATGCTTTAGGAAAAAATGCTATTAGACCTTGTTTAAATCATAAAAATTATGGAAATGTAAGCTTAACTGCTCAAAACTTGCTTAAGAATGAGCTTTCAGATTACAGTGTGTTGGATGCTTTCTTTAAATAGGATTTCTGTCCCTCTGATAGCTCTCATTGCTATCTTTTCCACTGTCATTTTCATTTTCAATTCTTATTTGCTGTGAGGTCAAGAAATGTCTGAGGACTTTATCATGTTCATGAAGTGTTCATGAAGTGTGTTCATGCTTTATAGAGAATGGAGTGCAGTTAGTGCTGTAGTAAGTAATCTTACAGGAGTCAAATACATCCTTGTATATTGTAATAGTTGTTGACAGGTTTGTTAATGGTTGGAGTTCTATGTTTGCTTCTAGCTTTCTCCTCCTTTCCAATCCTGTTCTAAAAAAAGAATGCTCTGACTCTTCCATTATTCTTTTTTCAGTTTGACTCTTAGTGGAGAAATATTAATTTAAACTCAGTATGGAGTTTCCTTGCATGCTCTCTAGCACATCCTGTCCCCTTCACAGAGAAAAAATATTTGCACCTGGTTGAAACTTATGCTTTAATTATTAAGTAACATAGTGTGAAATGCAGCTTTGGTTGAATTGTGGTTTTGGACTATTTTGATGATGAGGAAAGAATACCAAGTTAGAGCTTGTTACCGAGAAATACGAGTATTTTTTTGTTTACTGTCTGTAATGTGATTCAAATGAAGAAACAGATCTTGAGTAATGAGGAGGAAACTGTAAGCCATTTAGCTGTGCTGCTGGTCCCAGCTGATGCCGACTTGTCCTGGAGCATTCCTTGCCTCCTGAAGACCTAGCTGCCTCTTGAGTAAAGGCATCTCAGCTGAGATGCTTGCACACATGATGGAGTTCCAAAAACAATCTAGAAAGTTTCCTTGGAGCCAGCTGTCTTAAGATAAATCTTTATTTTCAGGTGGATAAGAGGTGTGGTGAAGTATAGCATAAAAAAATCTGAGAAACTTCAAAAATTCATTTATAAGTAACATAGAAGAGAATGATGGAGATGAATTGCACATTTCAGTTCTTTATTCCCATCAGTCTTTATCATTTTCATAGACTAATTTGGCTTTGAGGTGTGTTGTTGTTTTTTTTCTACATGCATGAAGCTTTCTTCACATAATTTCTATGAAGTAGACTATTGCAGAGGGTAGTATTTTTGCCAGTACTCGTTTTATTGTGTTTAGACTTGGTGATTAGGAGGAAAGCACTTTGAAAACAAATATAATCCGTTGCATATATTGTTTTGAGGGGACACGTACATCAGCTGGCATGTTTGGTGGTTTATCAGTCTCAAAAGTTGCATTTGTTCCATACAAATTTTCTCTTACAGCGGAGTTTAAGTAATACAGAAGATGAATGTACTCACCTGAAAGAAATGAATGAGAGGACTCAGGAAGAATTAAGAGAGTTAGCTAATAAGTACAATGGAGCTGTAAATGAAATTAAAGATCTTTCTGACAAGCTAAAGGTAACAACAGAACTTTATTAGACTTGGTGTTGTAATGCATGGAAAAAGATTTTGTTTCTAAAGCAGCAATCAAGCAAAGGTTAAGAAATTATTTAAGCAACAAGTAGAAAGAAAGATGTATATCAACTGTTACATGCTATTTTCCTTTACATTTAATGTGCCTGAAAGTGTCATAATTAAATTGTTAAAAATTTCCTGTTTTCTTTCACTTCTAAAATTACAGTATTCTTGGAGCTGCAGTTTGTTTTTTGTATGAAACTCTGTACTGGATGAAATTTCACATTCAGCTGCTTTTATATACATAACTTATTTGCATTTCACATTACCCTTAGAGCAGGTTACAAGCACAGGTGGCCAACCATTGTAAAATTACAGCTCGGCTTCTTGGTGGGAAGAAGCATGACGTCAGGTTTATTATTAAATCAAATTTCTAATTATATTTTAATGTCCTGTATGCTGGAGAACAAAATGATGACAGTATGATAAAGCCTGTTCCCATAAAGATTCCCGTTGAGATTAGCAGATGATATTGAGGAGGAAAGTGGTAGTGTTCTGTTTTTGAAAGCTACGTTTGTCCTGGATACAGGAATTAAGATTATTTTGGCCTTAGCTCAGCATCTCAGAAAACTTTTCTTTCCAAATTAAATGTTATATTGCTGGTCTCAAGGTCCTTAATTTCGCAACTAAGAATTAATCACTACTGGCGATGAGTTTACACAGAAGGATCAAAATTGAAGCTTATTAACCTAGCTTTGCAGGGAGGAGAATCTATAAAATATATTATGAAATCCAACAAGGGAAAAGCTGTGGGTTGTAATAAAGTTAATCTGTGAACTGTGAATTCAGCTCATAAAGGTTTTGGAATTTGGCTGCTGGTTTGAGATGGGAATCTGGGTATTTCTAAGCTCTCCAGACCTGATAGTGTTCTGTTGATGTTTTGAGATTTTTTTATCTGTAATTTTGCCTACAGAGAGATTGTATTGTTTCTGTGTTCTCCATCTGACTACCAAAGTAGGTTACTTCAATACATTCAGTTATACAAAACAGGGACATCTACGCCTCAGGGTGTTAATTTTGATTTGTTTGGGGATTTTTCTTTTGAGCAGGTTGCAGAAGGAAAACAAGAAGAAATCCAACAGAAAGGACTGGCAGAGAAAAAGGAATTACAGCATAAGATAGATGAAATGGAAGAAAGAGAACAAGAGCTTCAAGCAAAAATAGAAGCTTTGCAGGCTGATAATGACTTCACCAATGAGCGGCTAACTGCTTTACAAGGTTAGTCACTAGTGGGGGAAAAATTACTAATTTGTTATTCTTTTAATCTGTGAAATACCTTTTTCTTGGAATTCTGTTTACAGTACGGTTAGAACATCTTCAGGAGAAAACTCTTAAAGAACACAGCAGCTTAGGTAGGTGTGATCAGTTTCTTGTTTAAAGCTGGTTTCCAGATTGTTTCTCTTCAATTCCTTTTATTGTAATAATCCTGTACTGTAGGTGTCTGGCAATAGGATAATGTATTTACAAGCAAGTTTTACTGCTTGTTAACGATACGGAGAAGAAATATGTGACTGCAGCAAATTGCCAGCAGAGGGCACTGCTGCTGTGCGCGTTCACCCTTAGGGTTTGTTGCTCCATTCGGAGCTTTTCTTGGTTCCCAGCCCCTTATCCACCACTCAGAAAAAGGTACTGGTTTGTTGTCGTGTTCTTTTTTAAAAATATGTATGTAATGGACAGTAATTCTTGGGATGACAGTAACTTCTGATGTGTTGAACAGCCCGAAACATGGTCTGCCCTGTTGGAAAATGCGTTAAATTTTGCCCGTTTTGTGTGGTTGATCTGATATCTAGATACTCAGAGGAAATATTATGAAAAGCCATTTGCATTTCACAGTGCTGTATTTATAAAGAAACAAAATCCAAAATTTTTTGCTTGATTCTAGAAATAATACCCTTTCTTAATCCTAGGCATACAAGTTGATGACTTCATACCTAAAATTAATGGGAGCACACAAAAAGGTAGTGTATCTCAAGGCTACCTTTTGTCTTATGGTTGATGTTTGAAATTGAACAAATTCTTTTTGTTCTCTAAAGTTTTACTTGAATTAATATTCCCTTAAAAAGAAGTTGCCTGCTTCTCTGACCAGCTTTTTTTTGTTGTTGCTTAGACTCTCAGTCTAGGTGTTTTTAGAAGGTTCTGTAAAATCCAAGGAGCCAATCTTGGAAGTTAACCTGTTTTTATTTTTTTATTTTATTTTTTTAATTTTTAAAATGGATTTTTTCTGGAATCAGTGGGAATCTTATGAATGGTGTCAATTTTGTGACACACAGTGGAAAACCCTCATTAACTATTTTCCTTTTTATTTTCCTTGCAAAACAGACTTATACCATTTTTCTATTAAATTGGTTATGGTAAGTAAAGTCAGCAAAAAACATTTTTGCTGTCTATGGTGTATGACAAATGCAAGTAAATCACATACCAGTAGTGGAAACTAACTTTAAAACTTCCTTAAAATTTAAGAGACTGTCTTTCTACCAAACAGGAACTAATTCACACTAACCTTTTTTTCTTAAAGACAAAGTAGTTTAAGCTAGATTCTTTTTAACCAATGTCTTAACATACAATTGAGGTTTTTAAAAAATAAAATAGATTAAAAATCTGCCAATTTTTTTTCATATAAGAAATGGTTTATATTCACTGAATTGTTCTGTTAATTAAGATAGATTTGTTGTCTTCAGTTTATTTAAGGTACATCAATGAAAAATTTTCCATGAACATCTCCTATGTATAGTGAAGCCTCTGAGGACTCACAGTGGTATTAGTAGGATGGTTGGGGCCCTTACATAGAGAACTCGTGGTTCCAACCATTACTTACAGTGTTTACTTACCATTACTTACAGGATGACTGTGTATGTTTTTTGAAATGATTTGAAAGCTATCTGTGCACTAATTTTTAGATATAATTTTTTTTATTTATATTATAAATGAAGAGCTTTTTAATTTGGGAGAGTGCTGTCAAAATGAAATCATGGCCGTAACCTCACGTCGATTTCTTATTTGGAGCGGGGGGGGGGTGTTAAATGCACTGGCAGGAACTGTATTAAAAAAATCTGCTTCATCTAAGTGCTGGTTCTCCCTTTCTCTTAGTATTGTTCCATCTTGCTGTTCATAAGTTTGGATGGTGATACTCACCATGCTTGATAGAACGGTTAAGAAACAAATGTCTTTCCGTTTTTAGTTTTCTACTATGGGAAATAACTAACTTCTCTACCAAGCAAAACTGAGGCACTGTGTAAAGACTGTGATTCTTCATTCTAATAATCACATTCTAATCATGTGAGCTGTAAGACTTTGTAAATTAGATTGTTGGAAGTTTTTGGAAAATCCTGCAGTACTGTGAAAAAAGCAGCCTGTGATGTGAGACCAATGTACCATTCTTTTAAGGTTTTTTCAAAATTTAAGAAGCAGTCCCTTTTTTATTTATTGTGAATCATATAAGAATAATCTGGATGAATGCATGAAAGCACATATTCCTTCTTCCCATGGGTAACAGGAGGTCAAGCATTGTGCTTAAGAATGTTAGGAGGTTGTCTGCCACTTTCTTTTTCTTTGACATAGAACTGTTCATTCAAGTTGTTGTTGTTTGTGTGTATGAAGTCTGTTACCTTTCTCTCTCATGTATCTGCCATAATATTATTTTATTCTATGGATTAGCTTTCCATACTTTGCATTGCACCACGTTCTTCTGCACATCTTTGCTACACCGAGCCCATCCACATCTCTGACTTTGTAGAGCTTGTTGGCTTGTGTTCTTTTCATGACAGAATGTGTTTGTCTTTATCCTCCTGTTCTGTATCCAGTCATCATACAACGACAGATGGGCAGTAATTTTTTTCTGCCAGATTTTGATTTTTGCCTTCTTGAGAGCAGCAGGAAACAGTTACTGTGTTTTGCTGAGTAGTCTTGAGTTATTTTAGAACTTAGAATTTGGGGCTTATGATGTAGATTCAGCTGCTTCTGCAGTGAAAGAGCTCGTGGATATTTTGTGTAAGGAAAGGACCTCATAGGTAAAGACAGAAATCAGAAATGCAAGCAGTGGTTTTGTACCAAGTAGACTGTAAAGGGGAATAAATGGTTTCCTCTGTTTGTATATGATGATGCTGTTACCCTCTTTCACCACTGAGTGCTAATGACCAGAAAACGAGAGACAAGGTGTGTTGTTTTTTTTTCTTGAGATGTTCAACTGCTGCAGAAGAAGAAGGTAAAACTGTATCAACTTGTCATGTTTTGTGATGTTCCTTTTGTCTCCCTGTCTCTGAAAACTAAAGGTCCAGCTCAGGAGGTGTACTTACAGGTACACTTAAACTGTTGGGCAGCAGGGATCTTACATGAGTTCTTTATTTTATGGACTGCCACAAATTTAAAAACAAAACAAAAAAACCCCAGTACTCTGAGTAGGGAAACTAAGAGCCATCTTATCATAACAAAGTGCTTTAAGGTGGTGATGGGTAGGTGTTCGTTTGCTCTCGTTTCACAGACAGAAATTCTGATGCTGAAGAGAATGCTTTCTCAGACATAAAGCTGCTGACAAAGGTTGTTTAGAGCTGAGTTGTTGCAGTAAGTTGTTCCACCGCACCTGGTTTTCTTATTTCAATTCTTTGTGAGCCATATCTTAAAGACAGAAAGGTACAAAAAAGCTTCTATACGGTCACTTAGAAAATATAAAAATAAATAATTCAGAGATGGAAAACAGATGTTACAGTCATGGTGCTGTACTTTAAAAGCCTTGTCCTTACGAACAAGAAAAAATGACATTTACTTATTGAAGTGATTTTCAAATATGGTAAAGGTTAATATTGCATCATTGCTCAGAAGGGCTAGGCTGCTGATAGCTGAAGCTAAGGATTGAGCACTTTGTTAAAAAGTAACACGCTTTGCTGGTTTGTGTATGGAATTAAAAAAGACAAAAAAAAGCATTTTCTCCTTAGGTTTTTAGGCTCTTGAAGTCAAAGGATATTGAGGTTCTTCAGAATGGAAGCATTAGCATCATTTTAGTTGAAGAGACACCAGGTTCTGATGGAGTTGGGAGCTGGCCAAAGTCTCATAGAAAGATTTGGGTAAAAATGAGAGTTGAGTCCAGTTTTACTTCAGCAACAGTTAATTATCTTTGCTTTTCATAAGGATATCTAGTGTGGAAGAATAAACATAAAGACTAAAAAAAACCTTAATAAATACCCTTTTAAAACTAAGAATAAATGTCAGAGAATGTAGGTTAAATACATGCTCTGGATTTCTTCAGCACTTGGATTCGGTATTTGCTGGTTATTCATGTCTCATTCTGAATTTACAAATGGGTACCAGTGGTGGTTCTGTGGAGTTGTATGTTTTAATTATGTATCATCTTATGGATTCTAAATTTATTGTAATTTAAATACAGTTCATGTGTTAATCTTTGCCAAAATTCTGGTTGTTAATGGAAGTCCTTTGTCACCACCTAATGTGAAAGAGCAATACTGTAAATGCCAAATGCAGAATGTTTGGATTTTTGTAATTTGCTCCTATTAAATTTGTCTTAACAAGATCTAATTAGCTTCTACTGAGGTAAGCAGCTTTTTGTTGTGAAAAGCTCATAGATGTTAGTATTTCAAAGCACTTTTTTGAAAATGCAGTCAAAAAGCACTTCTTCTTCTGATCAGATCAGAAGAGTAATCTGCTTCCTAATACCATCCAGACATTATTCCAAACGGGTGTTGTCTGCTTGTGTAGTAACCCAGACCTCAACAGCTAACTGTAAATATGCAGTGACAGATATTGTTCATATACCTTTCACATTTTTTGTTGCATCAACCTGAAAATAAGCAGATGTAAACTGAAGTGTTTCTTTCTTTACTAGAGCACTTTCTTTCAAAGAGTGGAGGGGACTGCACTTTTATTCATCAGTTCATAGAATGTCAGAGTGAGTACAAGAGTGTTCATCACATTCACTTTAAAAAGAATGGAAATTTCAGACAAGGTGGATAAAACCCAGAATTTGTCACTACTATTCAGTACGTCTGTAGTAGCATTGAACTGAGGCATTGTGGTATTAAGCAGATGCCTGTAGCAGCAAAAGGAAATCTTTGCTTTGGAGGTATCTTTGTTGTGGAAATGCTGATCACATTGTCTTTTCATACATTTAGTCATTCTTTTCCTCTGCCCAGTAACAGGGTGGTAATGTTGCCACCTGATGTTTAAAGCAGTCTAAGTTTTCATCTGTGTTACAAATTAAGAAGTTGAAAGCCTAACCAGTGGCGTTTTAAGCAAACAACACGGGTTGGAGTGGGCCAGAGATGAGGTAATGATCCCTCTTCTCAGTTTTACTGTGTAATTTATCTGATATTTGAATGTTTTAACATATTTTTCTAATTAGTGGTTACGAAGAACAAAAAGGAAAACTTTAAGACTTGAATTTTTATGTGGAAAATCAGGAGCTTCTTTTAATGAAAATAGATTGTAATTATGTGATGCCAGTCTTTAGAAAGATTTATTGCTCTGGAATGAGAAACTTGTTTTTCAAAGCAAATGGGTTTTGAAAATGAGTAATGAAGCAGTGCAGCTCGTGTATCTGTAATTAAAGAAAAGTTTCAGGCGTTAATATGTGCTGTCTGATTGGAGAGAGATACTGTTAGGATAGAAAGTGCTGTTTAACTGCAGAGAAAACCCCTTGGTAGCGTAAAGAATTCTTCCACTTCAGATACATAATTTCCATAAATTTGTGTTAAACAAAAGTAAGATGATACCTTTTTGACATCGGGCTCTTTTTCTCCTTTCATTTTCAATAGGAAAGTGTAACAATTTTAAAACTCAGAGAAGTCTCATGAATCCTCTTTATTCATTACATGAAAAGAACTGAAGTTCAAACTTCGATATTTGTTTGGTCTACATTGAAAAAAGGGTACTCTGAGTGATGCTCACATATGAACTGGTTGACTGTTCTCATTGTTTGGGCATTAACAAAACTTGCAGCAGCACCAGCTTTGCAAGGTAAATGAATGTCAGCAGTCTTGTCACTATGGAGAAGGAGAAGCCACCATCAAAATTTAGTAAAAGATTTTAGCGTGAAATTGAAGTAGTGAAATATATTGACTTTCTGACCTCAGCATTCTGCATTTTGTGTAGTGTAGACTTTTAGTGCTAAGTGTGAGAGATTTACATTCAGCACTGATGTGTTTGTTGTTGGACTAGAAGTTTACCTTTCTCAAATTCACATATTTTTAGACAGGCCCCACAAAATTACGAAGTTAAACAACCTTGGGGTCTATTATTTTAATGCTGTATGTGACAGCTACATAATCCTGCTGCTGCAGCAGTGAAGGTTGGCAGCTAATGGGGTCACCAGAGTCTTAAGATAGGCTGCAAATATTGAATTGTAGGACAACATCACAAAGACTGGCAGTATTGAGGAAGAATGCATAGTTAGCTATACTAAGCTTCCCCCTCCTAATATTTATGTATTCCTTAGGAAATAACCAGGTTTATTAGTAAAATAACGTTCTGAAAATAGGAGTTGCATATTTAAGTAGTCCTATGTAGATTTGAAACGTTAGGGTTTGCAAACCATAAGAGAAATGTAAAATGAGAAGAAAGAAGCATGATGCAGTTTGTAGAGAAAGTTCTGACTTCTGCTATGTAAAGAGGAGAGTGTGCATGTCTAGTTGTGGGGAAGAAGCAGTTAAATCAGAAAAATGTGAGCAGCAGAATGAAGAAAAATGCCTTAAGTCAAGGAAATGGAAGTATGTAAGTAGCATGAGAAGGGGAATTAAATGACCAAGTAATCTAATATTCTGTATAAACAATGCTGCAGACATATAAGGCAATTGAAAGTGCCTATCAGTTGACAGCAGTTCGATGTCTCAAGATACTCCAGCTCAGTTGTTTTTTCGGTAGGGAAGAAACAGCAGGACTCCTAAAATCTTAGTTGCAGTGCAGCACTGGTGCTTAACTTCATAGAAACTGGCTTTTTCATTTTTGTTTTGAGTTTTCTTAATGGAGCAGGCCTTGCAACATGGCCCAGTAACTTTCCTTGCTCTGCAAGGAGATGTGAAAAGTTACGAAATGATGCACTGAATGATCTGAGAAATGTGCTACTTTCTGGTCGTTACATCCAGTCACTTGCTGCTCATTTCATAACTTCTTTCAGTAACCACTGGTGAAATCCTGTGACGTCAACAGCAAAAAAATAAAAGCTACCTTCTTCTAATTAGTACAGGCATGAGTTATTGCCAAATGTGGTGATGATTAAGAGACAGGAGAGTCAGTGCTGTGCCAGCTTCCTATCTCTTGCTCCTATTTTTCTCCTTGGGACCTTATTTTTTTCATTTGATGATTTTACATTTATGATTTTAAATGCAAGTTAATCTTTTGCCATTTTGCTAAGTCCACTCTTGCACGTTTTAAATTCTGTTTCTTTTTATTATTCTATTTATATAAAATGGAGTAGGTATTTAATAGATTGAGTGGCTGCTCCCAACTTTTCTCACCCACAGGTCATAAATCCATTGGAAATTGGAGCTGTTCGGTAGAACCTTTTTCCGGTGGTTTGAAATTAGTGCTGAGGACCAGGTTTCCTTTAGCTGGTCTTCAAAGCTGGCTTCCTTGAAAGATTAATTTGATATAAAAACACAAATACATTGAGCGAGGGCATTTATTTAAAGAATCGTGTAATGTCCAGATATCTTGAAAATCAAACTGCAACAGTAATAGCAACCTAAATCTAACGGGGATTTCGTAAATGAGAGGAATTGGCTTAAAGATGAAATGCAGTGCTTAACCTCGTAGAAATTATTTCAACAAAAAATATTTTTATTATTATACGTATCAGCAACTCTTTGGTTTTTAGTAAGTAATTTCTGGGTGACATGAAAGATCAAAATCATTTCTTCCAGAAGTTAAAGTTAAAAATCCTCACTCTCTTTTATTGTTTGGTGACCAAAAATGCGTATCTTGATTCAGCGGAAATGTAGAGTTTTTTTCAAATTCAAATGATCAAGTTTATGAAGATGTGATGCAGATATGTGGGAAAAAAAGTTGTAAAGATACAGGTATATTGACTTTGAATTTCTGATTGCCATCTGGTTCTGCTGTCTTTAGTGAGTAGGGAGGTCAGAATACAGAACAGCAGTCTGAGATGCGATGTAGTTTAATGATGTCAGCATTCAGTTTTCTATTTATAATCTAAGTACTCTTAATCGTGCTGGAATAAAATATTTTATGTTGACTTTGAGCTATACGAATGATTTATTTTTAAAACACATATAATGTTTACTCTCTTTTTAAACTATGAGAGGCGTCAGCCACCGAATGGAAAATGCTTTCTGTTCCACCCTTGGGTCACTCTGTACGAGGGGTCTTCAGTGTTATTGCTGAACCAGTGCTGGGAGGATAACTTTCACACACATATTGAAATTAAACTGCCATGGTGGACACCAGAACATTCAACCACTGTGGAAAAATAAAATAACTATTTTAAATCTACAGATTTTTTTCTTTAATCATAAAAATGGACAATTATTAAAAATGTAAGGAGCTGCTGCCGCCAAAGTTCAGGGAATTTGGGAAAGCAGGGGGGTCAATAAGATTAATTTATTTGTTCTGTGTTACAATTATTCTGATTTTAACAGAACAATGCAAAGACTTCGGAATCTGTCAGTCCATGAAGCCAAATTTTCTTCTGTAAACTGGTTATAGAAGTGTATCTTAAGCTGACCACCCAGCATACAGATGATCAGCCTTGAGATCAGGAAATTGATAGCTACTTTGCATGCCATGTTTTTACATTCCGTTTATTTTTTTAACCGTTAAGGCAGAATTCCTCAGTATCTTTCTTGCTGTGTTCCTACTGTGACTCCTCTCTTCCAGCCTCAGCTGAGTCCTGGAAAAGCCACACATAAAGGCTTTTCTTTAGATTTATTTTTTTTAGGGCTCATGAAACCTTTGAGTCCCTCTTCACTTGTGGCTGCAGAAGCTTGCTGCCTGCTGTTGTCTTCCCCGGCACAGGGACTCTCAGCTCTGATAAATACAAGCTGGATGACAAGTGATCTCCTGCAGTCTGCTGAGAGCTGAATTCAGTCCTGAAAATATGGAGCACTGTTCATTACTTTTTCTGAAACAGTATTCACGAAATCTTGTAAAAATGCTGCTGGACAGTATTTGCAACCAAGAATAGATGGATGGTCTCTCTCTTATAGGCTGGTTTGTCTGCTTTGGGGGGTGGGAATGGGATGGGACAAGTTTCCAGCCATGCAAACAGTTGTTCAGAGTTCAGGTTTTTATGCCTCAGAGCTTGTCCTTTTCCATCCGTGGCTGAAAAAGCTGTCTCCTGTCAGCTCTTGGCCTGCTGCTGTCCTTAGCTTGTCATGGGCACAACAGCGTGCTGCCTGACACTGAGACTTCTTAATCTTCAGAGCTCCTTGAGGCTCAGAATGCCGACTGAGCTCACTATATTTAACTTTAAAAAATTGAGAAGGATTTGCTGCCCTTCAGCTTGTTCAGTGTGACCTGTGCACACTGTCCGTCCTGTCTTCTCTTGGTTACCTGCTGTGCTCAGCTCTGCTGGGCTGTCATGGATCCAGCTGCAAGCCCAGCGTTCCACTGGCTGTTAGTAGCCCTTGGAAATGCTTTCAGCTGTCTAAAGCAGAACATCTACTGCGCTGTAATTGGTGATACGATCTGTGAGATATGTGACCCTCCGTCACTTTGCTTGTTGGCATCACCTCATTGTGAAGAAATTTGAAATAATGAAACCTTGTAACAAGAAAGAAGTTAATTGCTGGGTCAGTAGTCCTTTTGGTGTCCTGATAAATCCAAACCTGTTGTTCACATGGTCATACTGTTTGCCTTCGTGTGCTCACTGCAGTAAGAAGACGTTAACAGTCTAGTCTCAAACTCAGGTGTCTTAGATATGTTTTACCACCTGACATAAGTGAATAGACTTCCCTGCCATTGCTGTGCAAACTTGCACTGGGGAACCTGACTGTAGTGTGCACAGCCTTTTGGAAATTTGTTCAGTGCTCTGCACGGTGTAAACTAAGGAAGGATATTCCTGTGTTCCTCATGGGCAGTGATGAAGCAGTTGTGATGTGGAGGTGGCTTCTCAGCTGCTCTTACTGTGGCATCTTTCTAGATTTCTGCTATCTGGTGGGTGTTCATTTCAAGCAAACAGCTCTCAGAATTCTTATTTTTGAAAAGCTAAAATTTGTGATATTTACTATTTTTGCTCTCAGGTTGGGGGGGGAAAAGTTCATTTTAAAAAACAATTGTAACTTTTCATTAGTGAATTGGAACATTAATGAAAGTTAATAAATTGCAGAGGACATATAATTATGTACTTTATCACAATGTTTTACTAGGTTTGAGTGCTTTGTTTCATTATTCCATGCCAGAATAAAGTTGTTGTTCAAGCCTGAGTAGAAAGTAATACTGTCAGCTTTTAATTTGGTCATGGAATGTGGTCTGCATAGATGTGTGCAGGGAAAAGCTTGCTTAATTTGAGCCTGGAAAGTAACACTTATTTTGTTTGGCAGACAAGATCATAGATGAAGGACATCTAACCAAAGTGGAAGAAACAAAGCTTTTGAAAGGTTAGATTTATGGATTATTTAAGTGTTTTGAAGCATGGTTTTTATATGACCTTAATGCATGTTCTCTGTTAAACTGACTGTTTTGTTGAATATTCATGTAATAAAAACAATCAGTGAAAGGGGAGGTATATTGTGTACTGACCTCAAATCCTGTTGTAGAGTAAAAAGATTGAAAGGAAACAATTTTCAAGAATACACTGCATGAACTTCTTTTCTCAACTGAGTTCTTACCAGAATGGACGTTTTTTTAAATTGGAAGTACAATACATATATTTTGAAAATTGATTAAAATCTCTTGTGCTGGCATAAATTCAAACTCATTTTAGTTAGAGGAGGAAAGAGAAATAATGTTTAGTTTGACTTAAGATGTAAATGAAAGCGTATTTCAGTTTGATCTGTTTGTTACTTACCCTGGTAATTATTTCAGAACAACAGCAACCTCCTAAGCTTGCCTTTTGCAAACTACAAAGGTGCATCTCCAACTTTTCAGTGTAAAACAAGTGAAATACAAAGATTTAGTTTGACAAGACAAGATTTATCTTGCCAAGAAACAGTGATTGTTATCTTGCAGTGTCAAAACTGCAAAAAAAAAAAAAAAAAAAAGTTTTGAAGTATGTAGGTCACTGTTTCCTGTGTGTCTAATAATGTAAAGCTGGACTTGCAGGCTGACTCTGCTTCTGTAGCTTTTTATTAATGTCTAGACATGCTAACACATTTCTTTGTCCTTCTGCAAAGTGTTACTGCACTGAATAAATGTTAGCTTGGCTAAAGTCCTGGTGCTTTAGAGACTTTCCTCCTTCAGTATGAAATTGCATCTTTAATTTGTTTCTGTAGGTGTGCAAACTATAGACAAGGTGCCATATTTGGCAAAAGAATGCATACAATAACTGTAACTTAACACTTGCATGCCAGTTAACTTGCAGTACGACAGGCTATTTTTAGTGTTTGCTAATGTATTCAAACTCTTCAAGTACATATGATGTCAACACGTTTTAATATACTTCATCATTTTGGCTATATTTATTCAGCTTAGTTTTATTATGGGAAATAGAAACAACTGCTGTGAAACAACTTAGTACAGAAATCGGTTTTGTGCTTTCGACTGTGGTTGCAGCATAGGAAGCAGGGCTCTAAACCATCTGTCTTTTTTACTTCTGCCATTTCCAACACTTAGGTTTGCACGTCTTTCCTCTGATGGCTGCTCTTGGTGCCTGGATCAGGGGCTGAGGGGGAGGGGAGGCAATTGTACCTGAGAGCAAGTGGGAGGGGAGCATGGGAGGGAGGAGAGGGGGAGAGAGAATTAATGCAGGGCTTGGAGCTCACGCTGCTCCACTTAGCACAGAACAAGGAAGCTGTGTCCATGTATGACCTGATATGGTAAGGTTAGTTGGATGCAGATACTGCTCAGCTTCGCACTCGTGAACTGGCCACTAAGACAGACGGCATGGGTGAGGCTTTCAGGATATGCTTTTCTTTGTACCTAAGGTTTAAATGTTTTTTACGGTTTTCCTGGCTGTCTTGTGGGTTTAATTCTATTTGATACATGTAAAATGCTCTGCACTGTGATGTCTTCACAATTTGTTTTTAGGGAATAACACTTCTAGACTGGGACAGTACTGTTTTTACTTAGCAAAGAACCACCCCAGCCATCAAATTCCTTTAATAATCAAATTCCTTTAATAACTGCTTCAGTCACTGTGAGCTTTGAAGTCAGCTGAAGGCATATGATTTATGTTTGGGAAAGCTGCCAGACCTGAACCCCTAATGCACTGTGTCAGGATGCCTTCCCCTTCTCCCACTCCAGTGATTTCAGTCCTGTTGAAATAGGAAGAGCCTGGCTCTTGATCGGCTATTTTGCTTGTACTTGTCATCTTCTGTTTTGTTTAAAAGTTTGTGTTCCAGCACAGAGAAATAAGACTCTTCATGTTACATAACAAAAATGCTTTCTTGCTGTTAACCTGTCATCTTGCTCATTTCCCAGTGTTGCATGTTTTCATTTTTCACTTCTTGTTTAGGCGGCACTCAGTTCCTTTTATTCTCTTGTTATTTGTAGGAACAATGCCCCCCGACTTCCTCATGACTCCTGCCTTGTTGTGCTTATTGCTTGTTGTCAGTGGTTTCTAACAGTATTCATGTAACACACCTCATTGTTTATTATTGTGCATCTTCTGTTCCTGGTCCTCCTCTGGCACTTTTCTTTGCATCTACGCTATCTGTATGTGAAGAAATTGTGTTCACTCTGCCTTTTCCACACACACAGGCATCACTCCTACCATATATAATGTCACAACGATGCGTTTGGTGTGGGTGCATGTCACTCTCTTTACCTCAGTATCATACTCGGGCAGAACATGTGTTAATCTGAGGCAGCAATGCTGTCAGACCATGGCTGGGTGCATATGGTTAGCCAAGAAAGACTTCCCTCTATTCAGCTTCACTTGCATGTTGGTGACTTTGTAGCTGCTAAACTGTCTTACGAGAGTCACCTCACCTTCTGAAAATATGCTCCTCATTAAAAATTGAGAAGTGGTGAGAAGGCTGCATGGCTTCATTAAGCTGAATGTGATGATAGGGTGAGTTGTATGTGACTAGTTATATTGTGAAGGTTTGGGTCTGTTTGGTTTTTTTTGTTTGTTTGTTTTTTGGTGGAAAAAGCATAGCAAGTGCCTTCTGGAAATACAGTCTAACCTGAAAATTCTTTCTATAAACTAGTTACTGTATTCTGTATTGATTCATGCTACACTTTTTTTTTTCTACAGAGCAGTATATACAAGGCTTGCTGCTATTATTTTTTTGTTCAAAATACTGAAACAGTTTCATTCATTACAGCATTTTATTTCTGCCTCATAACAGTATCTGCATTGTTCTACATCTCTTTTCGCATTTGTTCTCTGATTGGATAAAACAATCAGCTTTTGCAAAGAGTTCCAACTGGCAAGAATACAGCTGTACACAAAAGATCAAGCTGTGCATGAGACAGTTGCATCCCCAATTAGATGCTAGGCTAGATTAATGAGTTCAGGAAACTGAATCCATTTTACCTCAGGTTTATGAAGAAATAAGCAAACATCAGGTTCTTAAGAGCTTTCTTCAGTTCTTCTTTGTAGTGACAGTCATATATATATGTATATATATATGTACATATATATAAGTCAGGAACAAAGCATTTATACTGTACTTGATTCTCCCTGTCTCTTACAGAGAACCAAGCAAGAGTGAGAGAGTCAGATTTGTCAGACACTCTTAGTCCAAGCAAGGAAAAAAGCAGCGACGACACTACAGGTAAACATTGAACTGAAGCCTTGCAAAATCTAAATAGTTTGAATTAAATCACTTAATCATGAGCATTTTTTAAGAGTGGAGAAGGCTTGTGTTATGTATTATGAGACACATACATTTTAAGCAGTATTATCTGCTTTCAAACTTACAAGAAATTGCTGTAAAATGAGAAATATATAAAAGCTTCTTTACTTAAAGAATGCAAATATAAAAACTGTCAACAATCTGCCTGTTTTCTTACAGTGTTTTTTTTCCCAGATGCCCAAATGGATGACCAAGATTTGAATGAACCTATTGCTAAAGTAGCTCTTCTGAAAGGTAAATTTATTTTTGTAAGTTTAAATACATGTTCCACATGTAAATACTTAATTTGTATTTATAAGTTAATGTTCCTGTTTTGTTTTTTTTTTAATCAAATGTGTGTTAATATTGAGACTCATGAAATATTTAGGTCGTGTTAGTAAGGAATAATTGAACTTAAATATTAATAATGTTTCCTTTGGATGGTATAAAAGTGTGCTGCTGAGTGTTAGTATAGGAATAATTTGTGCTTAAAGCTCTACTTACCAATGCTGTTCTATGAACTTATATGTTATAATTTCAAGTACTGTTGAGAAGTAGTATTGGCATTTGCTCTAGTTAGGGCTGGTAATCACTGAGAGAAGAGAATGGAGAAGATTCCTCCATTAATGAGAAATCTTTTGAGCATTGCCAGCTTTTACTTCTGTAGCTTCCCTCGCTGTCAGAAATGCTCCTGCTAGTTTGACATGGTGGTATAAAAATTCTAAAATCTTTTTTATTGTTACTGCAGTGAAGACTTGAGATCCTCATTTGAACTGTATTGAACCTTGGTATGGTCTTCATACTTCTAAAATGATATTATTTACTGCTGTTTGTACTAAAGCCATTTGTACTGTAAACTTAATTAGCAAGCTATTTACATGTTCATGGTCTGAATAATGTGGGATATTGTTACATTTAGAGTACTGAAAGTTAACTTGGGTTTATGTACTGTTATATGTTAGAAAATATCTACACAGTGATGCTTATGTTGGTATCACAAGTGAAAAGAAAGTGACAGCTCTTCGTATTTTTGAAAGGCAGGAAACCATAGTTCAATTTAGGAGAACTGTAAAAGAGCTTTTTCCTCTATTTGCTTACACTTCCCTATTTTCTGATAGAAAGGAATTAAAAGTATATGGTACATGTATATATTTTTTTTCAGACAAGAAACCAAAAATTGAATATGATATTTCCCAGTAAATTTCAGTTCAACATAGCTTAAAATAATTTAAGTGTTCAAGTGACCACTTCCATTTAGGTTTTATGTTAATGTCTCTATGAACAGCAATGAATAATAATGCCTATAACCTTTCTGTAAAGTGTACTTATAAAACAAAAACAGCTCACTATCTTAAACAAATACTGTGGGGAAGAGGACAACAACAAAAGAAAATACATCAGTGGATCTACTGATTTAATGGTATTTCTACCTTTCTGGATTGTAAAAAAAGAAAAAAACAATCTATATAAATATATAGAGAAAGATACCTATCAATCTAAATATAAATACGTGTTTTAATCATTGAAAATGACTGCTCCCATGTAGCCAGCTGAAGACTGCTCATGTTTGGCTGGATACCTTATTTGTTCTCTGCTGGCACATTGAAAGTAGGCAGTAGGTAGGCCTACTACTCTAAGGTTGAGAATCTGTGACTGACTTCTGCCTGAATGCAAATTAAGTCTCCGTAGGCTCTGTCAGGTTGCCTGCAGTAGCCCTAGGATGAGGTGAGGCTGTGAGCGTTCTGTTTCTCAGCGTTGAAGGTTGGCATGTCCTGTCAAGAGTTGGATGTAGTTACACTTGCTCTGTCTAGGGAATGTGCCCCAACTCCTGCTAGTTTTATGGTTTTGTTGCCCTCTTATTTTTCTTATGTTTTAATAAAACATGTGTTTGAAAAACATTTTGTTGCAAACATTAACTATGTTACATATGCAGCCCAAGACTATTCCTCTTCACTCAGTGTGGTCCAGGCAAGCCAAAAGGTTGGACGCCTGTGGTCTAGGGTATGTTAAACTGAGGAGAAAGAGTAACTGAGCTCTTCAAAGACTAAAATTTTCTATACAATGGAAACATTCTTGTGCTCATGTGGATGTTTGGCATTGTTTCATTTGTCTTCATCCAGTTGAAAAATGCCTATTTGCTATTGAATTACACGTTATAATTAACTGGCATAACTCTTCTTCTCTTGAGGCTATTTATGGACATTCCTAGTTTGCTCTCATGAAAACATTTAAAAATATCTGTACAATGAATCATATGCCTGTGTAATTTTTATGAAGAGTCCTTAAGCTCAAAGTTTTATTTGCAGTTTTGTCAGAGCTACTTCATGTGCCTGATTTTGCCCTAAAAAGGATCTTATTTGCTACAGAAAGACTTTCGAGTGGGTTTGTTATGCATTCATATAATTAAGGAAGAGTGAGAACATTTCGGATCTGGCAGCTGTTTGGAATGAGGAAATGGCTGCTGGAGAAGGCAGTGCTCCTTTCTGTTTAACTGCTGGAATGTGGAGCACAAATACACGGAACAAGAAAATGATGAGATGTTAAATTGCTGTAGTTTCCTCCAAGTGTATTTTCCATCAATAAATTCTGAGTGCATTCAGGATTTGTTTCAACTTTATACGAGGCAGAATCTGGCAAAGATGAGGAAGGGGAAAAACTTGCACAGATTAGCAGAGCTGCTTGTTTTTTTCAAGAGGTAAACATCTCTATGGGCCATTTATAAGAGGTCCTTGGACATTTCTATATAGGCTGCCTGTGACTACTTATTACAAAGAAAAATTGCAAAGCTGAAAGCAAGTATATGTTGAACAGATGGTTACAAGCAATAAATGCCATTGGAAGTTCAATGATCTTGTCAACTTCCGTGTGTTTGTCAGTAACTCCAACATTGATCCATGGGATCTTATTATAAATGTTTACTGAATAGTTTAGTTCTCTGAATAGTGTTATTTTAGTTAATAAACACTGAAAATTAGCAGTGGAAAGCTTAATAACCATTTGTTAATTGTTGCAGTAATAGCCAACTATACGTCTCATGTGTATGACAAATATTCTTAGGTGGCAAAAAAAAATCTGATTTAGTACTTAATCTAGCAGCTGGCAACCCTGCCTGTGGCAGGGGGGTTGGGACTTGATGGTTCTTGAGGTCCCTTCTACCCCAAGCCATTCAGTATGATAAATTTTCTGTGAATCTTACAAAGCTGAAGGTAACTCGGGTTTTTAATTGTCTTACCTGAATCACATGAATGCTCTGAAAATATTCAACTGAGTGACCTCAGGAATCATGTCCTACTCTGAAAGGGAACTGTTGTGAGACTTGGGAGAAATACCAGCCTATTGCTGCCACAGGCAGGCAATGGCTAAGACATGAATGAACATCACAGCCTGTGCGTGCCTCCATAAGCTCTCCTATCAAAACAAAAATAGAAAGACAAACACCTAAACAGAGCTTAGTTAACATCTTCATTCTTGTAAATGTTGATTTAATCTCAGTTTTGCTGGTCTTTTTAACTAAAACCTTATCGGTTCTGAGGTTGCAAAACCCCAGTTTATGTTAGATGGAAAAAATACCTTCAGGCGCTGTCGTAATCTTTAAGGATCTGGAAGTAGTTGCTTTTCCTCAAAACTGACCTATGGGGTAGAGTTCTTTATGAGGGAGAAAGTGTTGAATGTACTTTGAGAATGATTTGCTACAGACTGCATTAACTATTCTTTTTTATTTTTTTAATCTATCAGTAGAGGAAAAGTTAAAGATTAACAATCTGGTGTTAAGGAAAACATGATTGTGTAGGGATAGGCGTGGGAAAAGTGGGGTGACGAATCTCTTACAAGATAGCAAAAAATCTGGTCACAGATGAAAACTTTCTGCGATGGGTGTTCTTTATTGCTTTTGTTTGTTCATTTGGTGGAGTTTGGTTTTTTTTAGTTACCTTAATGGTAGAACTCTGCTTAGATTTCTGAGCACAGTTACTCCGGTATTGAATACATGATGGATTATGTCTAAACCCAATAGTGGTTTTACTGGTTATGAATATAGCAATACCATCAAGATACTGTTTTTCAGATCTCAGTGTTAGCACTGAAGTGATGTTTGCTTTGCACCAGAAGGCATGAAAGAAATTGTCAGTTTGTGAGAGACTGAAAACCTGTTTTTTTTCCCATAGATGTGATTATATTTATTAGCTTTTGGTTTAGAAGCTTGTCAGGTGTATGGAAACTACCCTATTGCATTTGAGTAGGAAGGAGTTCTTACCTTGACATGTTGTCTCTCTGCTAAACTGATTATGCTGTCCTATAAGAATTCCTCATCTCCTTTAAAGCCATGTCATCTTTCATGATGTGTCCTTTCACTGATTTGAAAATGCTGTCCACTAGGATGTTCGTTTAGTGTGCCTATTGTTTGATTCAGGACACTGCTTCTTTATGCTTCTTTAATTTGAATGTAATTTGTCAACTCCTTCATCCATTTCTTCTGAGCAGTCTCATTAAGGACTGAAAGTCTAATTGCCACAAATCTTTATCCATGAGAAGCTACGAACAAAACATCTCCAGTAAAGAGAAATCTGGGCTAGAAATTATAATAAGCTTATAAAAGAAAGTATTTGGATGAAAAATTGGGTCCTCTTTGTTCTTTCTGCTCACATAATTTTTTCTGAAAAAGCCTAAAAGTGCATGTGTTTCCATATCCCCTTGATCCCTTCAATTCATTACTGTGAGAATGGGAAAGACACAGCCTCTAAGAGGAGCACAGTGTGAGAACTTTAGAATAATTTCATTAGTTTCCTTAATGGAGAAAACATAATTTACCTTTAGGGTTTTTGTTCTCTGCAGTCTGACTCCATCTTAAACCTGCAGCAATGGATGTTTATCAACCATAGGGCTGTGCGATGCGTGTACCTTCTTGTTCTGCCTTTCCTGTTTTCCATCATGTCCTGTGAACCGTTTCACTGATTCTCCTCCTTTGCCCTTCTCACCTAGCCTGGGTGCATTAAAAAGATGATGGTCAGCAGGTGAAGGGAAGTGACCACAGTGAGGGGCCTGGAGCATTTCCCTTATGAGGAAAGACTTGAGAGACCTGGGGCTGTTCAGCCTGGAGGAGACTGAAGGGGGATCTTATCAGTGCTTATAAATATCTAAAGAGTAAGAGTCAAATGGATGGGGCCAGCTGCTTTTCAGCAGTGCCCAGAGGCGGAACAAGGGGCTTTGGGCACAAACTGGAACACAGGAACTTCTGTCTGAACATAAGCAAACCTTTTTTACTTTGAGGGTGACAGTGCACTGGAACTGGCTGCCCAGAGAGGTTGTGGAGACTTTCTTTGGAGATATTTAAGCGCTGTCTGGAAGCCTACCTGTGTGACCTGCTGTAGGGAACGTGCTTTAGCAGGGGGTTGGGCTTGACAGTCTCCAAAGGACCCTTCCAACAGCTACGATTCTGTCATTTGTGATATAAAGGTTTATTTCTCTACCTATGTGGTCTATTAGTGGTGCTTATACTTATGACAGATCTGCTGGCAGATCAGACAGGCGCTGCTTAGGGAGAATTTGGTGTGAAAGTGCTTCTTGCCTTCCATTCCTGATAGTACAGATGCCTGCAGGCTAGGGCGTTGTCTTCCTCTTTATGTTTCCACATCTAATTCCTAATATGCACCCATTAGATGACAAATACATATTTGTCATCTTCTGTATGATTTAAATTATCCAAAACCTTCAGCTTTAAAATTATTTGACTTCCATGACTGTACATCATTTCCTGTAATCAATCCCAAGAGGTATTTTGCATGCGTTTTTAACTAATTCAAAGCTTGCAGGGAAGAACATTTTGATGATTTAGTTTCACATGGTTGAATACTTAGATACCTGATTGTATTAAAGATGTGCCTAATAATTTAGTAAAATATTTAAGGGCAAAATCTGGCCCTTAGAGGTCACTGAAGAAAACAAACAGGTCTTCGTTGAATCACAGAATCACGAAGGTAGGAGAAGACCCATAGGTCACCAGATCCAACCATCATCTCACACAAGTCCACACCAACTCGTGTCACTAAACACCACGTCTGCCTGTCTGAAAGAACACAGGTGGCAATGCCACCACCTACCTGAGCAGCCCATTCCAGTGCACGGCTGCACTTTTTGTTAAGTAACTCTTTCCGATACCCAGTTCAAACCCCTGGCACAACTTGAGGCCATGTTCTCATCCTGACCTTTTCTTCATTCTGTTCTAGTGAATTCCCTAAGTTTTCATTTTCTTGTAGCTGAGGTTCACAGAAGGAGAGGAGGGGAGCAGGCAGAGTGGGCTCAGGGGTTGTGTGGCACAGAGTTCTTGCTCAAAGTGTGCTGGGGGAGGACGTTACAGTAGCTTCCTTCTAAAAGTAGACAAGTAGTTCATGCAGTCAAGGATTGTCTTGCTGACTGTTTCTTCTTTTATGTCAGTACAGGCAGTTTTGCTACTCAATACAGTATTTTTAAAAACTCTTGAATTTGTGTGTTCTTTTTATTTTACCGCATGTTTTTATAATTAATATTTTAAAGTATGTATGTTTTCCTCCTTTTAAAATATATTAATATTTTTTCTAATATTTACCTAATCCAATTTTGAGTTTACTTAACTAACTCTGGATTATTTGAATAGAAAAACACCAGACATCACATAATAGTGCAAAATAAACTGTTGTAGAAATGTATGCTTTAAAGGAAATGTTCTTTTGTCAGATGAACTTCAGGGTGCACAATCAGAGACTGAGGCTAAGCAAGAAATTCAGCAGCTGCACAAGGAGCTGATTGAAGCCCAAGAGCTAGCTAGAACAAGTAAACAAAAATGCTTTGAACTTCAAGGTGAGACCCCGATCAACTTGGTTAGTAGGGTATCCTTGAAAATTGTATTTATCAGGTAGTCTTAGAAGGGGTTCTGGTTTTTCTGATTGTTAGATTTGGTTCCTAACTCTCCCATCTCCAAAAACAGATTCATCTTCAAAACAGAAAGTTTGTTTTGTTTTCTTTTAATATATAATCAGATGGAGCCCCTGACTTTTTCAGTCAAGAATGACCAACTTCTTTTCACAGTACTGAAGTACATGTGAGCTCCATATATTTTATTCTTATCGAACACATTCTAGAATTATTGATTCACCCATATTTCAGTCAGATAATGCATGTAGTATAATGCATTCAGTGATAATCCTTTTAAATATGGAGCTGTATCTTTGTCATCAACAAAACTGGTTGTTCTTAACAAGTAGTGTAGTCTAGGTTGATTGCACACTGTTCAGTGTTCTAAGAGATATTTACAGCTTTTTTTGCTTCCCACCCCTATGCCAGCTGCCATTTAGCACTCATAGTTTCTGGATCAGACAGATGATTGTATTAGTTTCAAATTAATTGCAATACTACACGATAATGGAATAATATCTCTAATTTGGTGTTTTTGTTAAACTACTTACACAGTTAACTAGCTTTAACCTACTGGAATAATCTGATTGTTTTAATCTTTTTGGATAAGAGGAAGTCATGACTAAAACTAATTACAAAACTGAAATACTTTTTACTTACAAACTTTTGGGCACATTCACTTTCATTTATAGCACTATTGGAAGAAGAGAGAAGAGCATATAGAGTGCAAGTTGAAGAATCTAACAAGCAAATAAATGTTCTGCAAGGTAAGAAATAACTTTTTCACTCCACTTTCCTAGGGAAAATATATAGCTTTAGCTGTTTTCATGTTATTATGAGCACAATTAAGGAAAATGTTAAGTGAATGTGTTTTAATTTTTTTTTTTTTTTACAATATCTCTGAATTATAGTTTAAAATATTACCTGTCAATTTCTATTTTTAGTTGTAACTTAGAAAATGCAGAAGTTATCTGTAACATATTCCTCTTCTCCCTCTGTCTTCAGTACTTTTTTGTCAGCTTTGAATGATCCAGGGATTCTTACTATTTTACTTTACTATCTTATTTTATACTTTTTATACTAATTACTTAATATTTTATTTTATTTTACAATTCTTAGTGTTTTACCTTCTCCTTAAGCATTCAGAGGCTTTATCCTTTTGTTCTTCTCAGTCTCTTCACTTTATTGATAGAATCCTCTTGAATCATTTTTAATCCCTCCAAATCTCATTTAACCTTAGTATGCTGTACAATTTCTTCAACAGGGACATTGTGCTCTATGAAAAACAGTATGACCACTATCATGCTTCTTTCAGCCCAAAATAATTACACCAGAATTCAAATCCAGTGATTTATGTAACTCTTATTCATAGCACAGAAGCTATCATTTGCAAACTAGTGAAGCTCTGTATTGACAGAAAGTGTGGAACTAACCAGGTCTGTCTTGATATGGGTTTGTTGAATCCCTTAGCTTCTTCTACGTCCTTGTGTTGCCTGCTGTTTTAAAAGAATTGTGATAGCTCAAGCTCATTAGTCAACAGGCTGTCATTCCTGCCTTTAAATCAGTAAGGGTTATACTAGGACTCTTCCTTAGAGCAAACAGTAGTGTGAATACCAATTGTGAATTAAGGTGTGGATTGCTAAACGTGTAGAACCTTCATACCTCGTTCAGCTTGAGCAGAATGATGGTTAGAAGACATCAACAGACAGATGTAGTAACATCTATGGTTTTTTTCCCCATAGGAAATAAAAATGGTTTGCTAAAGATATTTCAATGTATTGTAGTTTGTTGTGAGATGTGATATTTGATGTATACCAGGTACATTCACTGAGAAGCTTGTGTGATTGCACTATGTGATAGGGATGTCAGCAAAGCATATTTAGTTCTTCTGCGATTGCTCCTCTAAGGAAGAGCTTACATCCCTTCCAACCAGAGAAGTTGTTAGTTTTGAATTTTGTCCTGCTAATAATGAAAATCTTCCAAGAAATGAATGCTATAGCAGAAGTTTAAAATTACAGTCTGATGGGCAGTTGTATGCAGAGCAAAGAAATATCTATTTATCTATTTAAAACAATTTCTCTCTTAAAAAGGAAAAAAAAACAAATGGTGGAAGCTTGCCAGAGCCACGCTTAACTGTGGCTTTGTCTCTTGGATGCTTTCCAAGTGAGTTTTGCAAGTGTTTTTTGCTCATCTCTCTCCACTGCAGTTTAAGGCATTCTGATGTTAGTCATGGGCTTGCTGCTTCCCAAACTCTCAGGGTGTGGCGTATCTCAAACTTGGGAAAGGTTGCCGTGATGTCATTGCTCTCTCTTGGCAGCCTCTGAACTGTAGTGGAGCAAAAAACCTGGACAGCTTCATACAGTAACGTTTCTTGAAGTATTTCCATGGAATCAGTATTTTAGGTCAGCTACTTGGCTTCTGTGTTCATCATACAGAAGAGAGGGTGCCATAGAAACAACTCAAATCCTGTCTCTACGTGTGGAGCTCCTTAGATGAGCAGATAGGTGAAGCAAGGAAGTCCTTGTATCTCAAGTAACTAGCTACTACTTAAAAAAAAAAAAGTGCAACGTTCAGTTCAGATGAGGTAATGGTTTACATAATTAAGAGACGTAATGGAAGCTTTATTTCTAATCACCCTTCCAAATTACACGCAGTGTTTCAGAGACCACTCCAGTATTCTTCCTGTGTAAGGTACTCTTACACCTCATCAAACTTTAGAAACACTTGTATATTTTTGTATGTTTGTTCATGTCCTGCTTGCTTTCATGCCTTAGAATTTCAAGGCAGAGATGTTCATAAATAAGACAGAAAGAAGAAAATGAAAATTTCTTTGAAAAACTGCAATTACTGAGGAGCAGGAAGTTGGTTGAGCTTGATAAAGAAGATAATACAAGGAAAATATGGGTTGAAAAATCACTCCTTTGCTTTTTGATGGACTCCTGTTATGTTAGCAAGTCTAAATTCTTGGTGCTTTAGAAAAATATTGTTTCCTAGCATAATGGTTTGGGATGTTCAAAGCTTCTAATGAAACAATACGTGGCAAGGCAAAGATTAATGTTCTGCTCTCTTACTGTCAGATTGTTCTCATCTACTAGTTTGATTACTTTTCTATTAGAATAGTTGTATAGAAATTGTTTCCAAACTAATGGGATGGTAATAGGCCTCACATTGCTCACATATGCAAAAATGCATTGTGCTGTTGTCTGTTATGGAACAAATGTATTGCTTCACCTGAGACAAGATTGCTGTGAAGTCTACTTAGTGCAGTCTGTAATAGCCTGTGTGTATTGCAATATGTAATAGCTATCGTGTTTTTTTCCATGCTGTCTTTTCCTTTCAGTTGTTCAGAGATTCTTTAGTTCATCTATGAGATAAGTCTTGATAAAAGCCTTGCTAGAGCCTGTTGAGAGGAGGGGAAAAAAGGTTGCCTTTTCTTTACTGTACATCAACTAGCAGCGAAGTTTCTGATTATACCTATATAAAGAATTGTACTTTTATCTCTCTACATTAAATGATGGAAGGGCATCAAGCATCACACATAGCTGTCGTGAAAGTCTCTCTTGAGCAGTTTTTATGCTGTATCAGTTTTCAGCATGACTCATTTACACTCTGTCATCTTCTATAATGGATTGAAAGAACAAAAATAACTACAAGAAATCTGTGAAAGCTACTCAACCTTGGTTATCTCTCCAGTGCTTTCTGCTGTCCCTGTTTGCCCTTTGCTTCAGAAAACATAACATACAGCTATAGGAATTTAATTCTTACCCTCTGGTATTTTGTATTAGGGAAACAAGGAAATTTGATCTTTTCTTCTCAGAGCAGTTCTGAATTAATTTTGGTAATTGCTTTTTCCAATGATTGAAAATCATTGAAATACATGCGAACATTGATTGGTGTACTTCAAAAAGATGCACAAAAAACACTTGGGAAATTATACTTTTTGCTTCCTTCAGTCAGAGCTTAACTATTTTACCCTTCCTACTGTAAGTATTAAGTATTTGCACAGGATTCTATTCTATTGCATATTTATGAAAAATAGTCATGCTCAGAGGAGATGCTTTTAGTAACCAAACAGTTTTGAATGGGAATAATTTAAAAGGTTTGCTTCATGCTGTTGAGAAATGCTGAATAGCCTAGCACTTATGTGACTGCAGCATGTTTACAGCCCGTCATGAACAATAAAGGACCACTTATGGTTCAGTATACTAGGTGCAGCTGTCACTTTTCATCCAGAATTCAGCTTGACCTTTGCAAAATACTTTTTTTGCAAAGAAGTAATTTTAATTCCTTTACTACAAGTTTGGAGAATAAAGCACAAGTTAGACTCTGTGCCTCAAATGTTTAAAGGCATCACAAATTAGCTCCAACTGCTGAACAGGCAGATGTTTCCAATGTAGCTTTGCGGATCTGTTTGGCTTGTCACAGAAGCTTTCTTTCATTCTGTCTTGTCCCCTAATCCTCTGCATCTTTTTCTATAATCCTTGTTTTGCTTACAACCAAGTTGGATCTAAATCTTGGTTTCAGATTTCAGGAGAGTTGCTTTTATGTTACACAGGAGAACTCTGTCTAAGAATGCTTTGTCTGACCCTAATTCCAGTTTCTTTTAACTCTCTGTCATGCATGACCTCATGTCTTTTTTAAAGGAAAATCATTTGATAAGGTTAACATACTTTTAATTGCATTAGATTTCTTTAGTCCCATTAAATATCAACAAGTTGATATTTTCAAAAATATTTTAGTTTTTCTGTAAGCACAGGTTATAAAATCATAACAATGTGTGTTTTCCAGCTCAGCTACGGAGGTTACAAGAAGATATTGAGAATCTTTGTGAGGAGAAGGAGAGTGAAATTTCTAGCACTCGAAATGAACTAGTCAGTGCTCAAAATGAAATTCTGTCCCTTCAACAAGTAGCAGAAAAGGCAGCATCAGAACGAGACACAGATATTTCTGCGTTGCAAGATGAACTACAAACTGTGCGAGCAGAATTGGAGCGGTGGCGGAAAGATGCCTCGAATTATGAAAAAGAAATTGTCAGTCTACAAGCCAGTTTTCAGCTTAGATGTCAGCAGTGTGAAGAGCAGCATAAGGAGGAGGCCGCTCGTTTGAAAGGTACTTGCTTAATAGGATGTCACAGAACAACACTACCAGCATCATCCTTCCCTTCAATTAGCTTAGATACACCTCTGATGTCAAAAGTAAGCTGAGTATAATGGTGCTTGGTAAACTTGTGCTGTTAGAGGAATTGATACAGCCACAGTTTTCCAAAAGAACTTGCATAAGATTTCCTTTATGAGGAAATATATATAATTTAAGCCTGTAAATGGACAGCTTCTCAACTGTTTTATAGCAAAGCTTCACTTGAGACGGTGCTGTATGGCTCAATAAAATTGTTAATGCAGTCTCCATCTGTGTTGCAGTACATACAGAATTAAAGTTTTATTCTGGAAGCATGATGTAGAGGTACAAAAGCATTTTGTACAGATCTATGAGACTCATTTATTTGTGCTTCACTTTACATGTAGTGCACTCACTAGGACTGGTTGAGAGCCACTCTTCCAGGCCTGTAGCCTCAGGTCTTGAACGATCTGCTAAGGGAGCTGAGGAGCTGAAGCATTGTACACACTGCCAAGAAGCTGGCATATGTAAAATTTGTTTTGAATTCTAGGTCACTCAGTCTTTGTGAAGCTGTCAGAAAAGCTTTTTCCAATTCAGACTATAAAATTGATAATTGATAAAAATCAATTTTGCCGTGGATTATTTCAAAGGTCTCGTTTTAACCCTTTAGCTGTTGTTTTAAATGTTCTGTTCCACATAGCAGAGACATGTATCTCATTATTGTTCATTACTTTCAATTTGTTTCCTATTTTCTGCCAAGAAATGAGCTTCTTCAAATATGCTTTTCTGTCACTGCTTCTAACATACTGGAGTAGACCCATAAACGAGACAATTTTCTACTGCTTTGTACCTTAAAGAAGCTCACATTAAGAAGAGCACTAACTTGTATGATAGCACACAAACTGTTCCTAACAGCAAGAGATGCAGTTGTATGTTTCATAGATCCTTGTGATAGAATTCATGTAATGTGATTATAATCATTTGAGATTTACAGCTAATGGCAGATTTTTCCAACATTTACTAGTGGGTCTGCTTGACATATTAGTGAAATTACTAATTGTTAATTACTTGGATTAAATATTATTAATTACAGGAGAACTTGAAAAGTTGAAGGCAGAGTGGACTGCTCTGGAAGCTGAATGTGTTACGCTAAGGAAGGAAAACACTTCACTTGCATCTGAGCTTCAGCAACAAGAGAAGGAGCTTTCTAGGTAAGGGAACAACAGGCTTGTCTAGGAAAGTATCAGAGAAGCTTAAGAAGATTATTATTCTTTTTTCTTTCCCAAAGTGGTTCTTAAATGTCTGATGGTGTTTGTGCTAAATGGGTTGAAAGTTCCTTGATATCACAATTTTTGGCAGAACGTGCTTTCATATCAATTAGTTATAGCAAGCTTTTTTTTTTCCTCTGCAAATGCTTCTGTATTACTGCTCAGGTATTTTAGAAGGTATCCTGATTTATTTTGCTCTTGTCTTGTGCCACTGAAATAAGCAAAGAAGCATGTGTGCAAGCAACTGAAATGCTTCTAATCACCTTGGACAGGCTTCTTCCTTCAAATCATGAGTTAGTTTCAAAATGCTTTGGAATATATAATAATGAATAATAAAGTAAATAAGAAACTGAAGACATGAGGAAGAAAGTATTTATAATCTGTAATATAACTTAATTTAAACATGCAAAAATAAGTGCATGTGTATTTAAAAGCAAGTCTGTGGCCTATCTTTTATAACAGTACTTTGTGCAGGAAATCAATGTTGATCTTTTGTTCTGTGACTGCTCCAAGATGATTTCTCCATATCAAATAAAAATAACGTGAAGCTCAGAGAACAAAAACTGTTTTAAACAAATAATTTCTGTTTAAATTGGAGGTAGAAGAGGAACCAATTGAATTTTGTTTTTCAGCTCTCAGAAGCAGAGTTTAGCTCTAACCAGCAATATAAGTGTTCTTGAAATGTCTCGAAAAGAACTTGAAGATCAGATGGGATCTTTGAGAGAAAAACATCAGCAGGACGCAGCCAGTCTAAAAAGCCAGCTCAGTGAAGCTGAGAGTCAAGCAAAGGATGTTCAGAAAGAGGTAACAGAACGTTCCTGCTTTGAATTAGTCCAGTGCCCTCTGACTTTCCTTTTATTTCAATATAAAACAAGTAAAAACTACAAATTTTTTAGTAATTAAACTTTTTCTTCCTTTAATTGCAAGTACGTTTGTGTTAGCTAGCAGTATATAAATGGGGAGTCAGATCTTGAAGGAAGACTTAAAATAAAATGGCTTGTGTATCCATTCTGGGAACTTCCTAAAGTTTACTTTCATGCATCACCTTAGTGAATATACTTATAAGCTGGTCTGTCAGGTGAACCCTTATTCAGAATGTTTTTGATCATCACTGTAATTAAGTCTTGTTATGAGTTACGAGTCAAAATGGATTTTTTTGCCAATGTGATCTTTCTAGTTAGATTTACATTTGATTTCATGGCAGACCTTTAAAGAAGCACATTCTTTAGAGGTCTGTTTGTCCTTTCTTCAGAATGGATCATCAGGCTTTTACAGATGATAAAAAGTGCTTAAGGAAAAGCTAGCATTTCAAGCCTGACTTCTGAAAATCATGTCTGGAAGAAGGCTGTCATCTCTATCAATTACTTGTTTATTTTTAGGAGCAGCTTGAGTGAAGTTTCTGCCAGTCACTGCTGTTAGTTTGTGTTTCGCAATCTTTTTCTTTGTTTTGTCATGAACTCATCCCCGTTGCATTCCTTACCATTTTTGGAATTTGAAGGGAGCAGTCTTGCTAATCTTTGTGTTTGTAATCAGATGAGTTTGTAAAGATGCTTATCCTTTCAACTTCTGGTAAATGCCAGTACTGAAGGCCATTGGTTCTGTGCTTTCTAATCCCTATTAACAACAAATACAAATAAACTTGTTTTCAGTAGATAAAATTGAACACAGAGTAAGGTTTTTCTATCTTGCTTTTGTAGAGAGAGTGCATTGATCCAAAGCAAGTCACACTAGGCAGTGTAGGCAGAAAGGAAGCCATGCACTAAGCAAATGTAAGCGTGTTTTTGGGTGTCCAGAGGTCTGTAGCCTTCTTTCTCTTTGCATTTAGTATGAAAGAACACAGACAGTGCTCTCAGAACTGAAAGCGAAGTATGAGATGGCTGAACAAGAAAAACAGTCAATCACAGAAGAGCTTAAACAGTGTAAAGAGAACCTGAAGCTGCTGCAAGAAAAAGGAAACAACGTAAGTCTGTACAAAGTATTTGGGGAAGTCTGGTTGTGACACTGACAGTTTTCTTGACTAAGAGAACATCTTTAGTATTGAACAGAAAAGGCTGGACTTCAAAAGGAGCTATGTACCATATTGCATGCAAAATTCCATTCTGGTACTACCTATTAAATCTGTAAGTCATTACACGGGCACAATTATATGTACCAATTAGATTTGCAGTTGCATGACAGTTTTAAAAACAGCCTTACTGTTGTCTTAGAAAAAAATCTAGCTTAACTACTCATTAAGAACTAGGCAAAACTTCCCAGTTTCAGAGACTGACACGTGGGTAGAAGCTGAGAAACCTGGATCCAAATGAGTTAAGCAACTTTCTTCAAGGTGCTTTTATTTTATTAGTGATTATTACAACATATGTTCCCTCCTCAGTCTTGCTCATGCTTCTTAACAGTGATTATCCCTGGTCCGCTCATGCTTTATACATGCAATTGAACCATCCTTTCTATCCACTCATGGAAGTAATCCTTTTCTGTTACATTTGGATAGGCTGTGTTGTTAGTATTGAGTTTACAGCTAGAGACAACATTTTTTGTTTCTTTTTTAATACTGAGACTTCTGAAATCCTTTAAAAGTTAAGAGTGTGACAAGTGTCATAAAGTAATTACAGCCTTTTTACTACTGGGATGGCTGGTTTCTTCTCTTCCTGTGCTGCTGTTATGAACCCCCCACACGGACAGCACAAAATAAAAGGTTTACAAGTACTATTCTCTACAGTTATCTGTGTTCTAGGGCACAGAATAAATACTTATTCCGTAACCCACTTATTGAAAGCAAACCTCTGACATAATAGAGTTAACAAAGATGTGAAGAACTCAAAGCCATTCTCATTTTTTTGGCTGTATTTTCATGAATGGGATGTTAATGTTCTCTTGGAACATACTTCTGCTTAGAATTTTCTGTAATGCCTAAATAATGTTGAATTACTGAAATAGGCAGAAGTACAAAAAAACAAAAAAAAAACAACTTTCTGAATGGAGAGATCATGCTAAAATAACTGCAGATGTGAGATTTTTCTGCTTTGTTAAAGCATTAATCTCAGTGTTGATTCATGAAAAAGGAGAGGAAGTTGAGGGAAGAAAAACACTGTGGAGGGAATTGGGGAAGCAGGTGAAAGCTTGCAAGGTAAGGGAATTTCTAGGAAGAATTTGGGATGATTGTCAAAATGATATAAGGAACCACAGCAGTTGCCAAAACATTTTTAAAGAAGAGTTACAAGATTTGAAGCCTGAAGGTCAGGCTGTGATGCAGAGCATCCAACCATATAAGGACTTGCAGGACGAGCTTGCTATTCAAGCAAGCATTACTCAGTCAGTAATGTGAAATATGTCTGTTTTGTGGAATATTTGAAGCATCATGAATCCTGGGCTGACTTCCAAGGTCAAATTTTTAAAGTTCTGTTATCCCCTATTTGCTGGAAACCTTATCTGTTACTCTATTTGTGAGGACAGTGTCCTCGAGAGCACAGCTTCCCACTGTGGGATTTATTTATATTTGTGGCCAGTCTCTGAGTTTGCACATCTATGGATTCTAATACCAAACGCATGTTTTTGATGAAGCATCTAATTATGCATTTCTGTGCAATAGGGAGATTTTAAAAATGTATTTTAATAAGCTCACGAGGGGCAAAATATAATCCTTTGAAGGAAACCCCATGAAGTTATCTGTTGGACTAATAAAAACTATAAGAGTGAGGGCTGCTCTGTTCCTTTTAGAACGTCATTAAAATATAAAGTTTTCCCTGTCAGAAAGATAAAGCTTATTACTCTCCAAAAACCCAACCAAGCAAAAAAGAACCGCAGTTCTGTGTTCTGAATTGCTTAGCAGTGTGGTGTATTGCTTGTGCTTGCATGTTTGTAGTCACTGATTATTTCCTGATGCTCTTTACATGAGGGATTTGTTTATGTGAACAGTTTGAGATCGTGAGCTGCTGTCACGGAGTTGACTGAAGCTTTTGGCGCTTTACTGAACACTGCTGTGATAGTTTCTGCCCATCTGCTTTCTTTGGGGAGATGGCACTGATTTGTGGCACCAATGACAAGAAAAATATGCTGCATGGAAATTAATAGTTGCACATGATTTGTCTGTCTGATATTCACCTTGAGTACAACAAATCTGAATTACTGTAATGGTAAGAATTGAATGGCAAAGATCAGAATAAGATACTAAGATAATTCTGAGATTTCTGTGTTCTTAACCATATTGGAGATTCTATGATTGACTTCCTCAAATTCAAAACAGAATGAGATTTTATTTATGGATCACAATATTTTAGGAAGTCTCCAAACATGAATTTATCATGTATTTATTTGGCTGAACAAAATCAAAGTGAGTTCAGCACAAAGAAGTCCTTAAGAAAATATTTAGCATGATTTGAACTTAACCTCTGTGTGTCTGTGTATGTGCACAAAATATATAGGCTAGGATATGGAGAAAGCAGATGTCTTCCTGGGACAGCTTAAAAAGAAATTAGGTCCATTTTTGCTTCTAGTGTATTGTTATGAGGATAGAGGCTCCCTCTCCAGATTGTGAAGCAAAGTAGTTTCCAGTTAATTGAAAATAACTGAGAAAATGTGCAGATTCTTGTAATGAGGCCATAAGCTAAAGGAACCCCTTCAGTCTTGCTAGCTGGTAGTTTGGCCCAGCTGCATCATTGGATCAGTCTTAAGAACTGCATTTGCTCACAAGGCTGATGCTGTACCAGAGATGCTGATCTTTGTGGTGTCTCTAACAAAAATATACTTCTCTGCTTTATAGTAACTTAGTGCTGATTGTACACTGTGTAATAACCTCACAAAGATCTGAACTACTGGGTTTGCCTGCAGACGTAGTTGTTATTGATTCATTAATGGAGGAAAGAGATTGTTTTTCTTGGAGGCTGATGATGGAAAATAGGAAAGGCGGAATGAAGAAGCAGCTGAAAAATTCAATCTCTGGTACAAGTCTTTCTGCCTTACGAAATCCAGTTGGGATTTCCAATTACTTGCACTGACAAACTAAAGACAAATAGATATAAAATACAGGCAGATAAGATTCATTTTGTTTCTAAGTGCTAAATTCCAAGTTGAGATGAAGTTTCTTAGAGTATTTTCTTCTTACTTCCCTTTATTTTTGAACGTTCTTGTTCATTTGAGTAGAACGGTGTACTAACTTTGTATACCAGATTAGATAATGCTGTATTATTAGATGTCTTTAATACATTTCAATTAAAACAAAACTCACTGACTTATTTTCCCCTCTCTAAATCATCTTTACCTGATTGATTTATAGCACAAAGTGATTTTTAATATCCCTTCCCTTCTTTAGCCTTCCATATTACAACCCGTCCCAGCCGTATTCATCGGCCTAATCCTGGCTTTCCTGTATTGGTGTTACGGCCCATTGTGGTAGCGAAAGGTACAAGCACTACTGTTCAGTCGATGTATGTTTGTCCCTCTCACCTGTTTGTGCCATTTCTGTATAAAATAGTGCATGGTGAAATGCTCACAGGTATTTCTTTACCTGAAGCAAACCCTTCATTTAATACGCCATTCTATTGATACTGACGAGCTGAACGATCAACTAATCATTTAACATCTGTCTGATTCCTTTAATTCTAACAATCAATTTCATTCTAACTGGTTCTGAACGTGCCTCTTCTAACTTGGTCTCAGTTTGTCTTTAGCAAATGGGCTACCTTTTGCACAGTGCTGTGATGCTAGGGCCTGTAAGAAAGCTTATTTGCTTTATTAACTATGAAAAATGAAGAGTTTGCCTCTCAATAACAACAAAAGTCAAGCTTTGGTTCTTATTTATGGACTAAGATATTCCTCTCTGGCTGTAAACACTTTTATTTTTCTCACTTGCTGTGAAGAAGATGGAAAAAAGACAAGAAATAGGTGGTTGGTTTGTATTCTGACCTCTCAGCTTGCATTTTCTCTACCGCCTCCCAGTGTGTTCTTCTCTTACTGTCATCATAAAATGTCGTGACAATCTGCTAGAAATGATTTTGTTAGGATCTGTTATGAACTGATGTCACAGGTCTGGATTTAATCCTTCAAAAGCCAAGTTAAAGATGTCAGTACTGCATAAACCTGTCTGGCAATCACTGTGCTCAAGTGCTGTTTTAAAGACCTTAAGCCCTCGCAGTTTGAACAGCCAGTTTCTTTGAGGTGCGAATGGTAACGAAGCTGAAATATGGAACTGCCAAAGGTGGTCCTCAGTCATGAGGAGTTCTGTTCTTCCCTGTGTTCACTCCAGGTCAGGGTTAGCCTGTGCTAGGGCTCGTGGGTAACGTTGTAGCCTGTCAACAGGTACTCAGGACTTTGAGGAACCACGGGGTAAAGTGATTAGTATGAATCAGAGCAAATATGATATTGATTTTTTTTTTCTCTCCACACAGAGACAATGGCCTTGGATGCCTGTGATGGCAGCTTTGGTTGCTGTGACAGCCGTGGTGCTGTACCCAGGCCTAACCAGAGCTTCTCCATGAGAACTGTTGTTGAATCCATACACCGTCCTCCCTTTAGAAGCTGGCAACATTCATATACTGAGGGAAAACAGATTAATTCTCTTCCTTTTTTTTTTTTTTTTTTTTTTTTTTTTTAACCTCTTAATACAGCACAGCTCTGCGTGAGAACAGCAGTAGGGTCATTTGCTTTAAACTGTATAAAATGTATCTGTCTATAAAGAGGGAATAAAATTGTGATTCATCATACTGTGAGCAATATTTTTGCTTACAATTTCATGCAAGTTTTAAATTAGTTTGTTGGGATTCTGAATACTACAATGGTGGCCTAAAGTAGACTTCTTGGTACCAAATTATTTGTAATGGCTAGGTTTGTGGGCACGTACTTTAGAATCTGATTGCCAGATTTAAAAGGAAAAACACACTTTGGATTTTGGATACCCAAGCCAAGTAACCTTACGGAAGCTTGGCAAACAGATGCAGTGCACTCAGTGCCTTGCAGTGTGATGCTCTTTGAAACCAGTATGCCATTTTACTTGCTGTTAGTCACTGAGCTGTTGGGAACAAGGCTTAAGAAAACTTCCTGCTCCTTTTGAAGGAAACATTTTTCTTTGATAAGGATTCTTTTATTAATGATTTTGGGGGGGAAAAAAACACAATTCATGTCCAGCCTTAAAAGAGATAAATATTGATGGTGGAGACCAGCCTAGAGTATTTAGCGTGCGCGTGTGCGAGTGCAAGCATGTGTGTGTTCCTGAGTGAACTGAGGTATTTCTGGGAGCAAATACTTGGTCATTTGATGGACATAGTGCAGTGATTCAACTTACATTAACTTTACTTTGAATGTAATTTATTAAATTTCATGTATTTAAAGAGGTGCGTTCTTTAAAAGTATGAATACTTTTTCACATATCACATTGTATCATTTTATTTTTTCAGTCATTTGATACTTTCTGACTGAGCTGGGGAAGCTCTTTAAATAAGCTTTTATGATGTAACTTCGTTATGAGAACTGCTACAGTACATCGTGATTAGCTGAAAATATTCTTAAGTTGCATAAAATACTACAAAATTGGAATCATCTCTGGTGACGTATGGGCCAATTGAAGATGATTTCAATTTGGTAGTAAAACTGTGTGCATCCTCATCACATGGCTGTAAGTATGATGCAGTGGTCCCCATTACAAAGTTTATTTTCCTTATCAAAGTGCTATAACTATTGCTATTTGCTGACTTTTGGTGGGAATCACTGTAGGTAGTGCTGAATTAAACGTAGACTATAGTTACTCTGTTCAGCTCAACAGTTCTGTCAAAAAAGTTTATTAAAGACTTAAACAATATACTGAACAATGGTAAAGTAAAATGGCTTTGCTAAGGGAAACTTCAAAACAGGGAGGTAATCTCAGCAATTAAATTGGCTTTAAACAATTGTATGGCAATCGACAGGTAGATTAAATATTTAAATAGAAATTTAGTATATAACTTACCTTGTAAGATTTTGAGGATCATTGTCCTTTAATTAAAGGTTCTGTCTTAAGTTACATGGGATTTTCTATGGGGAGGATTACTAGTATTGGCAAAAATAGTCCACAAGTGACTTGTAGAAAATATTGTCATTTAGTTCATTCATTTCATCACTTTCAGTTGCAGGAAGCCACCCAACCACAGAACACTCGTATGCCAGTGGTACTCAGTACCTCTTGTATATAGGTTATTGCAAATATTGTTCTGAAATGCTTACCTTCAGAATTACATTTTTTTAAAGTAAATAATTGTTTTAAATCTATTTTGTAAAGATATAAAAATACAATAGAATTTCTGGAGTACAGATTAAACTATTTGCACTAACACACGTGATGTGCATGATTTAATAAAATAACTTTACTCTCCCTATGCATGTTTGAGTTGGATATCATTTGAAAAACAGTAGACTCATGCTAAGTTTATTTTGTGCTAGATACTGCCATAATTACTAGGCACAATGTCTGCAGCATGTTCAGTAATGCAAAAAAACTTTTTTTTTTTACGTTGTGTTTCACATTTGCACTGGTTTAAGTTTTTATCTAACTGATCTCTCTCCTCTCTGTGGCTTTTGGAAAGAGAGGGGGAAGGAGAGGGCCATGAAGAACTGGGGAACGTGACTGCTGGGGAGAAACGAACAGTGATTACATCTGAAAGTTGGAGTGTGCCTGAGGCCGAGGTCACGAGCTCGGAGGAGCAGTGGGTTTGGAAAGCCCTTCTAGGGGAGGGGAGCCTGCTGCTGCCTTCTCAGGTCTTAGTACCCCAGCTCCCCGTTGTCCCTCCTGCAGCCACTGTTCCTTTTGCAGCTGGTTCTCTTCCCTCCTCCCTGCTGGTAGCACGTAGACATGGTGTGAGGAGGTGGAGCAGAGGCCAGCAGCACAGCCTGCCGAGCCCTGGGGCTGGTGGTGGGAAGGGCTGTGAGCTCCTTGCGACCAACCTGGGGAGCCCACGGCCGCTGGGTGCCCCACGCTGAGCTGCGCTGCCTGGGACGTAGGATTGAGTTTGTATTAAAGACAAATGCTGCGTTTTGAGAAATCTCTAGTGCATCAGAGAGCTGAAATTTGAGACGTGGATGTATTAAAGGAGAAAGATTTAATTAGGTGCATGTGTGCATATTTATATTGCATACACGGATGCATAATACACACTGCATGGTGTTCATGCTTATGAGTATTCCTGCGTTGCCCTAATACTGTGCCTTTCCCAGGAGTTATTGACATTTGCATGTTCAAAGTTATCAGGAATCAACTAAAACGCACAGTTCACTCTTTTTGGGAGTCCCTGGATGATGGTTGGAGAACGGGAGGCTCCCATTCTCCAGTGCTTTGACACGGAAGTTCTGTAGGCACTCTGTCCACAAACGTCGCAGCTGTTTTTCCTTGTGTTTGTTATGGTAAATATCTGCGCTCTTCGACATTCAGCTTTAGGTTTTCTTTTTAAACTGTGAGGCTGGATGAGCTAAGCCTTGCAGATACTTCAAGAGCAGCTTTTCACAAAGCATTTCAGATGCTCTGAATGTTCTGGTAAAATAAGTGCTCTCAGCTTGCACTCAGTCTTGAAGTTTTAAGAGCTTTAATAGTAAGAAAGTCTGAGAATTGTTGGTTACCAGCTGAATTTGGAAGATTAATGTAATATCTGAACACTTGTTCTGAAGCCTTGACTGAGGCACTTATTTTTTTTTTTCTTTGATTTTCTTTCAATAGAAATCCCACTGACTCTGGGGGACTACTGCAGCAGCAAGCCTCCTATTTATAACGTAAAGAATGCAGTGTAACCTTGCTATTCCTTGCAGATGAGCTAAAGATGTTTCCCAAAACCTTGGCCTGATTTTCCTTCCAGTCTGGGTGTTTTGGTGCTAAAAGGAGAATTGTGAACCTGCACAACGCATTGCGAAGTTCTCTTACAAAGCAGCCTTAGTGAGATTTAGTATCAAGTGACTGATGGCTGAGGCAAAAGGAATCATCTGTGCATGCGTTTCTGGGGTATATTCTTAAGTTGTGAGGATTTTAATCAAGTCTTCCAAAGTAGATTCTGTTCACATTTTCAGCGCACTTTACATAACATCTTGAATGTCTCCTGCCTTAATCTGTGTGGTTCTGCCACTTGCAAGAGCCATTTCTTCAGTTTGAATCTTCTCTGATGAATATGCTGCAGCTGTGCACTGGGGCTGGCCAGATCCCACCTGCGGCCTTTATTCCCTTTGGGTTTTCATGTACCATAGCAACTCATTTCAAGATTTTGAGACTTCATTAATATAGTGATAGGATGTAGGAAGGAATTAGAAGCCATATCCCTCTCTTCTGTCCATGTTCCTCTTCTGTATGCCTCTGGATTTGTTTGAAAGGCGATTGTTTCCAGCAAACAACTGCACCGAATTCCTCAGTCCAGCTGTTTTACTTCTCCCATTGTGTGTGTGCTTATGGTCACCCAGCTCCTTCCTTCCTCCCGTGGCTGGAATGGGGCTGTGGAGTTTCTGCTCTTCCAGCCTTTCCTGCCTTTTTCCTTTGTGCCAAATACAGATCTGTGAGCAAATGTTTGCCTGCAGAGTCAGGATCTTCTGCTTGGAGAGGGCTGCACCCACTGCTGCTTTAAAAACCAGGTGCTGGCACAATTTGCCCAAAATGTGGGAGCAAATCAGCAGCTGAAACAAAAGCCTCGGTGGTGGTGGCTCCCTGAGGCTCTGATTGCCATTCATTTGCAAAGGTGGAGGGAACACGTGTGGCATTTCTGATCTGGGTATCACAGTCATGAAGCTTTACTGATTGTTTTTAACATCAGAAAAACATAACGTTAAATGACAGCGTGTATTTTAGAAGCAAGGAAACCTTTATTTAAGAACTTCAGGAAAAGAATTGTTTGCCTGTCTAGGTAAGTTACCAAGCAGTTACTGGACTCTTGTTTCAAAAATAATAATCATGATTTGCTGATTGAATTCATCTAGTCTTGGCTCCCCTCCATTAGACTGCAGTGCCAATCCTTCTGAAGGATGTCCTGCTACTGCAGGAGTTGCCCCGATCCAGGCATTTTATGCACTGGGATCAAAGTACCTCTTAATCCTGCTTTATAGGAACGGATTGAGCTGCTTACATTTTTCTTTCATCCCTCTAGCTTTTGCTGACAACTTTCAAATTTTTCTAATTTTGTGAATGTTCTTTTTTGGGAGTGGATGTCAGAACAGAACGTGCTCTTACAGCAGTGACCTTACTGACATCGTATAAACAACAAGATTTGCGTCCCGCTCTGATGGTCCTGTTTGGCCATCTCACGCATCCCCAGGACCTTTCTTGTATTCGTGGACTTCCAGCATTTGGATTTTAATCCTGTGAATCAAATCTGCATTCCTCACAGTGGTGTGGCCCTGTGGTATCTGACCTTGAGGTATTGCTCAGCACTAATGGCTGCAGATGGGCAGAACAGGGCAGGAGCCCCATCCCATTATTGCTTATCCCTTCACCCCGTGGGGTTGTCGGTTTTTTTCACCCCTAAGATTTGAACAGCACTGACCGTTGAAGCTTTTCTACATTTTTGATCAAAAACTGTTGAATTTTAGCCAGCCAAAACCAGAACCCTGCAGCACAGACGGGAAAACACTCACAGGATGATTACATTGCTTAAGGCG